GGCGACCTCTTCACAGCGGCGCCGCGAAATATTCAAAGATACACAAGTTTAATTTTTTTTAATCTCTTACATAGGAATAGTGATACTTTTACTTCGGTTAGGGCACAGTGGAACAATTTTAATTGAAAAAGCCGCCCTGATTAAGAAAAGTTTGGGATACACTGCTTTATAGTGTTGCAGCTTGTGTTGAAAAACAAGCACAAAAATGTGTGCTTTTTCAGGTTTGTGGTTTTAGTCTCTACTGCTGGGTTCTAATACTGCAGCTGAATTGCACTCTCTTAACTAAAGTTTCACTTGAAGTGAGTATTAAAACTTCAGATGTGGCAGTGTTAATTCTGAGAGAGCTGATGTCAAAGAGCATCAAAATGATAATTTGAACACTGTTGTAACACATCATCTATTTAAACAATATTTTTGCTTTGTAAAAGTCAAATAATGTGACACAAACAGTAGATTTCACAATTTATTTCCAGGAATATTTCGCTTATCTTATTAGGTGCATTACCACAGAGTTACATCAACATATGAAGTACAAAATGTATCATTTTCACTGAAATACACAAATCACAGTGTTGTTACACCGTACATCTCTCTACTATAAATTCAAGATTAACTATATATGATTATTATGGTGATTTCAGATTTATCAAATGTACTTTTTGATTACAGAAAGAAGTAGAATTCAGTTTTATTGTTATCAGTAATCTCATGAATAATCTTCAATTTCTGATAGAGAAATGTACAGTGTAACAACATAAATTGTGATTTGTGTATTCCACTGGAAAGGATTCATTTTTGTGCATCATATAAGTGTTCATTTAACTGTGTTGTAATTTTCCTGACAAGATCCACCAAATTACGCTGGGAAATAAAATTGTGCAATGCTTTGTTTAGGCCCACATTATTTAAATTGGTATAACAGTCAATGAAGTAAACTGTGTTTCATATACATTTTTATCTAGATGGGTTCTGGAACTTCAGTGCAGTGGAAGCCGGAACTTTCTTTCAGCATATAGGCTTGCTGTGGAAAATGATGAGGAGATTAAACATCACATTTGTAAGTCTAGATCTGGAGTACTTGATTTCTAAATTAGAAAGTTTGATTAGTAAAGTTTTTTAGAAAGGAAAGTAGATGGAACATTTGGTATGCATTGTAGACAAATCTTTTCAGAAGTGAGGTTAGTTTTAGTATCCAGAAGCCATGAGCTGTTAACCCTTAGGCTCGGAATTATGGAAATCGCAACTTTTCGGCCTTGATTCCATTGTAAATACCGTAAATCTGGGAGAAAATGTGGCTTTTCCTGCCTACCCCCGAGATTGAACCCTGACCACAAGGAGTTCGTCACCCGGTCTCTGCGCAATCCGGTTTAGCCAATTACGCTAGAGAGCCGGGCACAGAAGTGAGGTAGATTAGGTATTGGATAAGTAAAGTATCAGTATTGTAAGTAGGTCAGCTGATAAGTAAAGTAAATGATTTATAAGCAACCCAGGCTGGTAATTGGACGTGAAGTAAGCAGGTAGTCTGGAAAGTAAAGTTAGTACATTTTATAAGTAAATTAGATGGGTCATTTGAGGTGAAGTAAATAAATTATCCAATAAGTAAACTAAATGTTTATACAATATAAGTATATATTTATAAATATATCTAAGTATATAAATAGATATAGAGATAAATTCAAATAAAATTTATGAGTCATTAGCTAAGTAAAGTAGATGAATTTTTAAAGTAAAACACACTACTTTTTGATAATTTAAATGTAATATAAATGTTGATATTAGAGCATATGTAATTTCTTCACTAGAACTGAAAATGTTATTACATAATTTAAGTGGATATTTGACTTTTAAAAATTCATGAACAGGAGTCTGAATAGAAGCAAGATTATTTTGTGTGTGTTTAAATTACAATTTAAAAAACAAATGAGCATGCACAATACTTGACAAGGTTAAGTTATCTTGGATATTTAGCCATGCGACCCTTGCAGTGAAAACCAGCAATGCCATTGCAGTTATTGTCAGTTTTTAAAAATGTTGATTGTTATTCATTTACTTAGATTAGTAGTCGTATCATTATTACCACTTAGGGATAAATTGATGTAGGGTAAGCTAGATATGGTCAAGGCCCTTTGGGAACGAGTGAACAGTGCAGAGGCACAAACTGATCATCCGAGCTGGAAAGAATGGTCTATTGGGGAGTGATCAGGGAATCTGGCTAGTACTCAACAATCAGAGGCAAGCCAAGATAGACATATAAGCAGACTGCTACTGGAGCCTTAATGGGAGTGTCCTGAGTGCTGTGCTGTTGGTTCCTAACTCATTATTTTGATTAATTCATACAATCCTTTTCTTATGACCACCGTCTAATAGTCACATCAGTGACAAATATTATTTCACAGCGGATTTAGATTAACATGTCATGCAAAGCAATGGATTTTAGCTTACTTATCAAAAATCACCCCTAATTACTGGCACCACGAGGGCTGTTAGATTGCAGTGGTTGGGGTATTTGAAAGAGGTATCAGATAACAGAGAGACAGAAACTGCATACACAGAATTGAACTTGAGTAGACTATGAGACAGACTAAGAAGACATTGGAGAGATAATATATAAACAGATCACTCAATGCAGAAGAAGAAGATATGCAGGCAGACCTAAAAACAGTTGGAGTCACGAACTGGAAAGAAAAGGCCAAGTACTGAGATGAATAAAGGCAGGGTATATCTTCAGCAAAAGAACCTTGAGGGCTCAGAATGCTGAAGAAGAACAAGAAGCAGCAAAATGTTCTATAAAGTGACTAAATAAGCATTTGTTGAAATCAGATGTGTTTCACCAAAAGGTGCAGATATCACAGTCTAGTTGTAAACCAAAACAGTGTGCCAACTTTCCTTTTAAGGGTGGAAATAGAAGATAAAAGAAATACTTTTATGGAAATTGTCATTTGTTTCACAGTTAGACTGTGACATAAGCATTTAAAAGAAAGGTATGTTAAGGTTTCTGTTCTATTCTGCAGTTAGATATTGCCCGTAATATTTTAAAGAAAATATCTAAGAATTCTCATGTGTTTTGTTTCTCTCTTTTGTTTTGCTTTTCAGATGTACAGGGTGTATACTTGTTCACCAGTGGGATCCCAGACCAGTTTCCTGATGTTATCAACAATTACATTGAGGAATCCACTTCAGGCCATGATGTTCACCTCCACACTATTTTATTCAATGTGGATGACTATGACGCCCACGGTGCCATCCCAGGGCGGTATGCTAACATCACAAACACAGCGGAGTGCTTGAGAAACATGGCACACATCAGCGGGGGCAGGTTCCACTGGTTTAGAGAGACAGGTTTGTGCACTCCGGGTGTCTGTTCATAAATGGGACAGTGTCATATCTTGCAGCAGGTGTTCTTAACCCTTTGCTTAAGTTGAGTTTCTGGCAGTTAAAAAAAAATTATTCTTTTGACACCTTTGGCATCCTCATTTGAATCCCGGGGCCCATTGTGAGGGAAAAAGGAAGAGACCCCCCCCCCCCCCCCCCCCCCCCAAACAAACATGTCATAAAAGCTGATCCCTCCTTAATAAGCATCTTGTAGAAGCCGGCATATTAGGGTATGTCCTTCAAAGTCATAGAGCATCTGCCTAAGAGACAAGGAACCAACAGTCTGAATACAAATAAGCCAGTGGTGGAAAATGGATGTGCACACAAAACCCAAGTTCTAGAAAACAACTAGAATCCAAAAGTAGATGAACAACCAGAAATTTTCACCAGAGTTTACAGCCAATGAATGCAAAGCTTTGCACACTGGGAATTATGTGCTAGACCTATATTTTATAGGTAAGACTGGCACTTGATGTATGATGTGGTCAACCATCACCCGAGTACTGGCACTTGATGTATGGTGTGGTCAACCATCACCCGAGTACTGGCACTTGATGTATGGTGTGGTCAACCATCACCCGAGTACTGGCACTTGATGTATGGTGTGGTTAACCATCACCCGAGTACTGGCACTTGATGTATGGTGTGGTCAACCATCACCCGAGTACTGGCACTTGATGTATGGTGTGGTCAACCATCACCCGAGTACTGGCACTTGATGTATGGTGTGGTCAACCATCACCCGATTACTGGCACTTGATGTATGGTGTGGTCAACCATCACCCGAGTACTGGCACTTGATGTATGGTGTGGTCAATCATCACCCGAGTACTGGCACTTGATGTATGGTGTGGTCAACCATCACCTGAGTACTGGCACTTGATGTATGGTGTGGTCAACCATCACCCGAGTACTGGCACTTGATGTATGGTGTGGTCAACCATCACCCGAGTACTGGCACTTGATGTATGGTGTGGTCAACCATCACCTGAGTACTGGCACTTGATGTATGGTGTGGTCAACCATCACCCGAGTACTGGCACTTGATGTATGGTGTGGTCAACCATCACCCGAGTACTGGCACTTGATGTATGGTGTGGTCAACCATCAATCGAGTACTGGCACTTGATGTATGGTGTGGTCAACCATCACCCGAGTACTGGCACTTGATGTATGGTGTGGTCAACCATCACCCGAGTACTGGCACTCGATGTATGGTGTGGTCAACCATCACCCGAGTACTGGCACTGGATGTATGGTGTGGTCAACCATCACCCGAGTACTGGCACTCGATGTATGGTGTGGTCAACCATCACCCGAGTACTGACACTTGATGTATGGTGTGGTCAACCATCACCCGAGTACTGGCACTTGATGTATGGTGTGGTCAACCATAACCCGAGTACTGGCACTTGATGTATGGTGTAGTCAACTATCACCCGAGTACTGGCACTTGATGTATGGTGTAGTCAACCATCACCCGAGTACTGGCACTCAATGTATGGTGTGGTCAACCATCACCCGAGTACTGGCACTCAATGTATGGTGTAGTCAACCATCACCCGAGTACTGGCACTCAATGTATGGTGTAGTCAACCATAACCTGAGTACTGGCACTCAATGTATGGTGTGGTCAACCATCACCCGAGTACTGGCACTCAATGTTTGTTGTGGTCAACCATCATCCGAGCACTGGCACTTGATGTATGGTGTGGTCAACCATCACCCGAGTACTGGCACTGGATGTATGGTGTAGTCAACCATCACCCGAGTACTGGCACTCAATGTATAGTGTGGTCAACCATCACCCGAGTACTGGCACTCAATGTATGATGTGGTCAACCATCACCCGAGTACTGGCACTCAATGTTTGGTATAGTCAACCATCACCCGAGTACTGGCACTTGATGTATGGTGTGGTCAACCATAACCTGAGTACTGGCACTCAATGTTTGGTGTGGTCAACCATCACCCGAGCTGCCTTCACTTCACAGAACATAACCTGGTGCCCATTTCAGGCTAACTTGACCTTACAAACAAGGTCTGTTTTGAAAAGGAAATAAAATTTACTTTAATGCAGAGGACATCCTACGGCTTTTGGTGGAGGAGCACTTTGTGGCTTGAGGGAAGCTGCTAACCTTACTCTAGAAAGAAGAAATACAACTTGAAATCCTAATGTTATAGCAAGGCAGGCCAGGCACTTAACCTTAGTTGGCATTTGGTATAGGAGGTAAGCTCTAAGATATTGACAGACAGAGTACTGTTTGTCTTTTCTGGCAACTTCTGCAGCAGGCTTTGTTCCAAACTGAATTGGTATTACCTTTCCTTTGCGGTACACAAGGCAGATCCAATGAGGGATCATGCTACCTGGGCAACACATAGTCTCTACAGTGTTGCCTAGACTTTTTTGCTATGAAGATGATCTGGGCTGTGATTCCTATGCCTCCATATAGCACAGTATAACACTATTGTCTGGAAAGACAGAAAGGAGCCAGTGAATGATTTGAGTGTATGCCATTTTGCAGTTATAAATATTCTCTAAAATGTTGCAGGTATCATAGAGAGTGATGACATCCAGCTAATCAGTGCTGAGATTGACAAGAGCTTGAACTTTTCTAACAAGTGTGCAGTCCTTGTTGAGTCTGTCAAGAAGAAATACAGAGACAGATTTGTAAGTTTGTTTACTATAATTAATTAATAATCATAAAAATTGTGAAGGAAAATTAAAAGCTCAGGTCAGTCTGAAGAATTTTATGGACAGAGAAGAAAACAAACATATAGGAACAACCTGCATATACTAAGATATCCATAATATCAAAATCTCTCTCTCTCTCTCTTGTCAGTTTTCTTTTTTAGTTTTTTTTTTTTTTTTGGGGGGGGGGGGGGGGGGGGGGGGGGGGGGGGGGGGGGGGGGGGGGGTATACTTGCTTCCTGCATCGATTTATTTCCTATTTGAGTGCCTGACTGGTGATTCTCTGCTCTTTTTGCCTTGGAGTGTGTCCAATATAGTGCCACTTCTTTGTCTTATACCAGTTGTTACCCTTGGTTGCGCAAAATTTCTATTTTTTTTTCACCTCTGTTGAATTCATCTCATTATTACTGCATCTCTGTTGAATTCGTCTCATTATCTCTTCACCTCTCTTGAATTAATCCCTCATTACTGAATTACATGGATATTTTTTCTGTGCTATATACGTTTCAAGATGCAGTAACTTTACTTTACATCTATATTTATCTTCCGTGCTGTATAACATTTTAAAGATAGAGTAAATTTACCTAAATTTTGGCTGTATTATAGTTTCAATATGAACTAAATATACATATATGTTTTTATCTTCCGTGCTGTATAACATTTTTAAGATACAATAAATTTACCTAAATTTGGGCTGTAAAATAGTTTCAAGATGAACTAAATATACATATATGTTTTTATCTTCCGTGCTGTATAACATTTTTAAGATACAGTAAATTTACCTAAATTTGGGCTGTATAATAGTTTCAAGATGAACTAAATATACATATATGTTTGTCTTCCGTGCTGTATAACATTTTCAAGATAGAGTAAATTTACCTAAATTTGGGCTGTATAATAGTTTCAAGACGAACTAAATCACATATATGTTTATCTTCCTTGTCGTATAACATTTTCAGGATCGAATACATTTACCTAAATTTGGGCTGTAGGACAGTTTCAAGATGAAATAAATTTACTGTTATGTTTTGTCTTGTTTGCTGAGTAAAACTTTCTTAATAAAATTTATGTACCTGTATGTTCTAGGCAAATGTACATCCCAGTTTAACTTAAATTTGTGTCGAAAAAGGGCAACAGCCACACACAAAAAAAATGCTGGGGTTAGTTTTGCAACATCCTGTAAAGGACATGCAACTGACCTATATGTTCAGTTTTCTGTGCTGTGTAACAGTCTCTTAACTTGTTCCATAAGGTTTATTGATTACTCTATACACGAGTTTCATTTCTACAATTCTTATGTCACATAAACCCATTTCATCCCAGTTGTTAATTAATTCTGCCTTGTGGTTGTATTATTTTATTACATTAAACTCAAATATTGTTACTGTAAAGTGCTGCTGCATGATATGAACAGTGGGAAGAATTGGCTCATAAAGAGCATTCTGAAAACTAAGGTATTTAGGCCATGTTAAATGTGGCCTTGAGGGAGCAGTGACAGAGGGTACAGTTTCCAGAAAATGAAGCAAAAGCAGACTTCTGCAAAGGTAGATACAAGAAGATACATTGGCTATGTCGAGTTGAGTTGAGTGAGTCAAGAATTGACATTACAGCACTTGGGGCATTCCCATACGTGCTCCATCCCCATACATGCTCCGTCCCCATCCTCAGCAGCCAGAGCAGAGTTCCAGTACTAATGGTGCCAGTCATAGTCTGGTTGTTTGTCCATCTTGCCTTCCCTTTGAGTGTAGTGTGCCGGCCGAATCATCTGGTCACACACAGGTGCATCATTGTCTCCAGCCTGTAAAAATATAGTTCTCTTCTGACTTCGTTACTTGTTACCAAAGGGCTCTGACCGCATCTGCAAATTGGCTATGAAAACACAGGACTAGAAAATGAGAGAAAGACAGACTTTCAGGCTTGCCGTGACAAGAAGAGCATTCTATGACGTTCTTGCTGTTTGATGATGAAAGTACACAGCCAAGGATAGAGACAGTGTTGAAGTAACAACTGTCTGGAACTGAAATAGTGAATAGAATACATGTTTACTGTAAATACATTTAGTCTTCTATGCTGATTATATTTATAAAGAGATCATGTTTAGTCTAAATATGTTATTATGTCTATAATAACATCATGTTTAGTCTAAATATGTTTAGTCTTCTATGGTGCAAATCTAGCTTTTTGCTGATTTTATATATAACAAGATAATGTTTAGTCTAAATATGTTATTATGTCTATAATAACATCATGTTTAGTCTAAATATATTTAGTCTTCTATGGTACAAATCTAGCTTTTTGCTGATTGTATCTATAACAAGATCATGTTTAGTCTAAATATGTTTAGTCTTCTATGCTGCATAACTAGCTGTTTACTGACTCTCTCTATAACAAGATCAACCATCCTGAGATGAAAGCCTTGCAGAGCAGATCTTCAACAAGACATCTCAACTGCTTACCACAGACTGAAGTTTCAAAACCATTCAAAGCTCTACCACTTCCAGAGACACATGCAGACTCTGCACCAAAATATATTTCTTTTGGCAGCTCCAGTAAACAGGTAAGCTTGTATCAAGATTTTTCATGGACAAGATAATTTCTAGAATCTCTGTATGGGTTCCAGGGCCCTATTTTAAGGGAAAAAAGAATGGACCAAGTTTCCCTTAACAAGCATGTCATAAAAGATGACAGATTAAGGTTTAGCTGAAATTGCATGTACTGGGCCGAAAGGTGCAGAAATTGCAGCTTAGCTGTAAACCACAATACAGCACACAACCAGCCCTTTAAGGGTGAATACAAAAGAAGAAGAAGATTTCTAGGAGGTTCTGTGATTTGTTTGAAAGGGAAAGATAATGAGGAAGGAAAATGGCCAACTGACCTCATTTCCCACAGCCTAGAATATGTGAAGGCCTCACACTTTAACCAAAAAAAGCTGTACCTCTTTAGATTTGCCTTCTGCAGGATTAACATCTCAAGGATGAGAATCAAACAGGTACAAATCCCGGAAATCTTGTTCAGCCGTATAGGTAAGTGTAAAAGTAAAGTACAGGTCCCTTTTTGAACATAAAGAACCAGACTGATATTTTATAGGCAAGTCAGCACTCGGTGGGTGATGTAAACATCATGCTGGCCAGCTTTACTTCCTAGATCTTCACATAGTACAACTATAAGACCAGGGTCGACCTGAAAGCCAAGGTCATTTAAAAAAAAAAATGCGGCTCCTTTTGGAAACAAACCCTTGACCTTCAGATCGACAGGCGAGCAACTAACTGCTACACCACAGTGGCTACTATATCACCAAATAGCACAGTTATATTGGAGCACCACAAATAGTTACAAAGTAATCTTTAGACCAGTCTGGATGAGTTGTGTTGATGGCCTAACACTTTAAACCCCAGACATAAATATCTTGACTCTCTGTGAGGGGGGAAAAAGAATACACCCACTGCCTTCTAACAAGAATGTAAAAAAAAAAAAAAAAGTCAACTAATTAGGGGTGTTTCCTTTGAAGTTGGAGTGCATCTGCCTTGGAGGGAAGGAACTGACAGTCTGCATACAAATAAACCAGTAAAATGGATGCACACGAAAAACTCAAGTTCTGGAGTAAGACTAAAGTCTAGAAGTGGATGAACAACCAAAACATTCTACCATTTACTGCCTATGAACGCCAAGAAGAAGCCAAGAAAAAGGATGTATTTGGCTGAAAGGCCCAGATATTGCATCCTAGCTATAAATCACAACACAGAGTGTCAACCACCTTTTCAAAGAATGCAGAAGAAGTATTTGCTCTGGATTGCCATTACCTTCTAGAGTCTCAAGTCAAGGGCATTTATTAGTATTACAGGTAGCAAAGGTTGGACAGATAGAGGTGAGAGAGTTCAGCCTAATTTAGCTTATCAACCTGTCACAATATTATGTAAATTAATGTCAGTTCTATAGTTTCTGCTGCTTTTAAATAGCAGTTTACATTTGTTTTTAATCATTCTGTTCATATATTCACTATCCTGTTGGGTGTAATATGCCATGTAAGAATCACTGTTCTTTTCCCAACTCCATTTTACACTATTGAATATGTTTGATGTCAGATATTAAATCTAGTTTGGCAGCTCAGGCCTGTCTCATTTCTGCAAAATAAAAAAAATGTGCCTTTATTTTTGTTTGTCTTTTGTGCTGTATAATAATTTCCAAACAGGGTAATACCTTCATTGTCTTAGGGTTTTTCTTGGACTTCCTCAATAAATGTTTTGCTCAGTTCAGTTCGTAGTTTGTGATTCTTAATTCAGTTCATCTTAAAATATACCCAGTGTATCATCGTCTTGTTTCTCCTACAACAGTTTATACCAGTGGTTGTTCAGGCATTTCCCTGATCACCACTCACTCCCCCCCCCCCCTCCCCTACGCCAGCCTTTCTTGAATTAATCTCATTTCTTCTTCTTCTTCTTGTTCACCGGCTGTGAATTCCGGCGGTAAGTCACGGTTGTTCGTCCAAAATGGACTTTTGGCTTTTACCTTGACCTGAGTTTTGCGTGTACATCCGTTTTACTGGCTTATTTGTTTGCAGTACTCGTTCCCCGCCTCTCCGGCAGATGTACTCCGACTTCGGAGGAATAATCTCATTTAATGTTTATTATATTATGTAACATCAGCTGTATTAACTTCACATACAGAGTGAGGAAATGCCAAAGAAGAAACCTCAGAAAGAAATCCTGGGCCGAACCACAAGTGCACTTGAAAAATCCAAACTGGGCTTTGAGGAGTCAGCACACACGTGTGAGTAAATGGATTTTCTTATATTTGACTATTATACTGCTTAGACACCGAAATGTCTCCCTTCCAGCAAAACAGCAAATGATTAATAGCATCTTTATCCCTACCTTATGTTATCAGTGCCAAACATGGACAATAAACAGGGCACTAGAACAGAAAATAATTACATGTGAAATGTAGTCTCCGCAAGGGCACTAACAACGCAATGCGAGACAGGGTTATGAATACCAGTGTAAGAAAGTTGGAATAAGACCATGTCTGGATTATATTGACAGACAAAGAATGAAATGGTTCAGCCATCTAGTGAGAATGTAGCCAGACCAGACTGCATATGAGACTTTTTTTTTTTACAGTAGAACATCTGGAAGGAAGGCAAGAGGAAGACCAAGAAAGAGATGGATAAATGGTGTAGATGAAACCTGCAAAAAAAGTTGAACAAATCCATCATCAAGCCACCCGAGAAGAGCAAGACAAATACAGAAAACCATGACAATGGGCTACAACCTGGTAACAGTGAGACGACAGAAAAAGAAGAAGAAGAAGACTATTATACCTCTTAGTAGTATACTACATGCTGTTACTGCACATAAAATGGACTAATCTTGTAATATGGGAGACCAGAATATATCAGTCTAACATCATCCCCCTGTGGGATATTCTGTCACAGAACTAAAACTCTTACAGAAACCATTCTGTCCAGTCTTCTACCAACCAGCAAACCAACCAGCTAACTAAATAGCAAGGCAGCCAATAAGTCAACCAACCAACCAACTGTCAAGCAAACTAACCCAGTAAGCCAGCCAGCCAACCAACCAACTGTCAAGCAAACTAACCCAGTAAGCCAGCCAACCAACCAACTGTCAAGCAAACTAACCCAGTAAGCCAGCCAACCAACCAACTGTCAAGCAAACTAACTCAGTAAGCCAACCAGCCAACCAACCAACTGTCAAGCAAACTAACCCAGTAAGCCAGCCAACCAACCAACCAACTGTCAGGCAAACTAACCCAGTTAGCCAGCCAGCCAACCAACTGTCAAGCAAACTAACCCAGTAAGCCAGCCAACCAACCAACCAACTGCCAAGCAAACTAACCCAGTAAGCCAGCTAGCCAACCAACTGTCAAGCAAACTAACCCAGTAAGCCAGCTAGCCAACCAACTGTCAAGCAAACTAACCCAGTAAGCCAGCCAACCAACTGTCAAGCAAACTAACCCAGTAAGCCAGCTAGCCAACCAACCAACCAACCATCTGCCAAGCAAACTAACCCAGTAAGCCAGCCAACCAACCATCCAACTGTCAAGCAAACTAACCCAGTAAGCCAACCAACCAACTGCCAAGCAAACTAACCCAGTAAGCCAGCTAGCCAACCAACCAACTATCAAGAAAACTAACCCAGTAAGCTAGCCAACCAACCAACCAACTGTCAAGCAAACTAACCCAGTAAGCCAGCTAGCCAACCAACCAACCAACCAACCAACTGTCAAGCAAACTAACCCAGTAGGCCAGCCAGCCAACCAACCAACTGCCAAGCAAACTAACCCAGTAAGCCAGCCAACCAACCATCCAACTGTCAAGCAAACTAACCCAGTAAGCCAGCCAACCAACCAACTGTCAAGCAAACTAACCCAGTAGGCCAGCCAGCCAACCAACCAACTGCCAAGCAAACTAACCCAGTAAGCCAGCCAACCAACCATCCAACTGTCAAGCAAACTAACCCAGTAAGCCAGCCAACCAACCATCCAACTGTCAAGCAAACTAACCCAGTAAGCCAGCCAACCAACCAACTGTCAAGCAAACTAACCTAGTAAGCCAGCCAGCCAACCAACCAACTGTCAAGCAAACTAACCCAGTAAGCCAGCCAGCCAACCAACCAACCAACCAACTGTCAAGCAAACTAACCCAGTAAGCCAGCCAGCCAACCAACCAACTGCCAAGCAAACTAACCCAGTAAGCCAGCTAGCCAACCAACCAACTGTCAAGCAAACTAACCCAGTAAGCCAGCTAGCAAACCAACCAACTGTCAAGCAAACTAACCCAGTAAGCCAGCCAGCCAACCAACCAACTGTCAAGCAAACTAACCCAGTAAGCCAGCTAGCCAACCAACCAACCAACCAACCAACTGTCAAGCAAACTAACCCAGTAAGCCAGCCAGCCAACCAACCAACTGCCAAGCAAAATAACCCAGTAAGCCAGCCAACCAACCATCCAACTGTCAAGCAAACTAACCCAGTAAGCTAGCCAGCCAACCAACCAACTGCCAAGCAAACTAACCCAGTAAGCCAGCTAGCCAACCAACCAAATATCAAGAAAACTAACCCAGTAAGCCAGCCAACCAACCAACCAACTGTCAAGCAAACTAACCCAGTAAGCCAGCTAGCCAACCAACCAACCAACCAACCAACCAACTGTCAAGCAAACTAACCCAGTAGGCCAGCCAGCCAACCAACTGTCAAGCAAACTAACCTAGTAAGCCAGCCAGCCAACCAACCAACTGTCAAGCAAACTAACCCAGTAAGCCAGCCAGCCAACCAACCAACTGTCAAGCAAACTAACCCAGTAAGCCATCCAGCCAACCAACCAACTGTCAAGCAAACTAACCCAGTAAGCCAGCCAGCCAACCAACCAACTGTCAAGCAAACTAACCCAGTAAGCCAGCCAGCCAACCAACCAACTGCCAAGCAAACTAACCCAGTAAGCCAGCCAGCCAACCAGCCAACTGTCAAGCAAACTAAGCCAGTAAGCCAGGCAACCAACCAACCAACCAACCAACTGTCAAGCAAGCTAACCCAGTAAGCCAGCCAGCCAACCAACCAACCAACTGTCAAGCAAACTAACCCAGTAAGCCAGCCTGCCAATGAACCAACTGTCAAGCAAACTAACCCAGTAAGCCAGCCAACCAACCAACTGTCAAGCAAACTAACCCAGTAAGCCAGCCTGCCAATGAACCAACTGTCAAGCGAACTAACCCAGTAAGCCAGCCAACCAACCAACTGTCAAGCAAATTAACCCAGTAAGCCAGCCAACCAACCAACTGCCAAGCAAACTAACCCAGTAAGCCAGCCAGTCAACCAACCAACTGTCAAGCAAACTAACCCAGTAAGCCAGCCAACCAACCAACTGTCAAGCAAACTAACCCAGCTAGCCAGCCAACCAACCAACTGTCAAGCAAACTAACCCAGTAAGCCAGCCAGCCAACCAACCAACCAACTGTCAAGCAAACTAACCCAGTAAGCCAGCCAGCCAGCCAGCCAACCAACCAACTGTCAAGCAAACTAACCCAGTAAGCCAGCCAGCCAACCAACCAACCAACTGTCAAGCAAACTAACCCAGTAAGCCAGCCAGCCAGCCAACCAACCAGCTGTCAAGCAAACTAACCCAGTAAGCCAGCCAGCCAACCAACCAACCAACTGTCAAGCAAACTAAACCAGTAAGCCAGCCAACCAACCAACTGTCAAGCAAACTAACCCAGTAAGCCAGCCAACCAACCAACCAACCAACTGTCAAGCAAACTAAACCAGTAAGCCAGCCAACCAACCAACTGTCAAGCAAACTAACCCAGTAAGCCAGCCAACCAACCAACTGTCAAGCAAACTAACCCAGTAAGCCAGCCAGCCAACCAACCAACTGTCAAGCAAACTAACCCAGTAAGCCAGCCAACCAACCAACTGTCAAGCAAACTAACCCAGTAAGCCAGCCAGCCAACCAACCAACTGTCAAGCAAACTAACCCAGTAAGCCAGCCAGCCAACCAACTGTCAAGCAAACCAACCCAGTAAGCCAGCCAGCCAACCAACCAACTGTCAAGCAAACTAACCCAGTAAGCCAGCCAGCCAACCAACCAACTGTCAAGCAAACTAACCCAGTAAGCCAGCCAACCAACCAACTGTCAAGCAAACTAACCCAGTAAGCCAGCCAGCCAACCAACCAACTGTCAAGCAAACTAACCCAGTAAGCCAGCCAGCCAACCAACCAACTGTCAAGCAAACTAACCCAGTAAGCCAGCCAGCCAATCAGCCAGATAACCAGCCAGTCAGCTAAAATAACTGTCCAATCAACCTAATTGTATTGATCTGGTTAGAAGATACTTTACTCTGTTGTGAAGAATAGTCTGCCTAGTTGTATTCATCAAAACATTAAGAATAAGCATCTAAAATATCCTCAAGTATTCCTCAAGAGACATATGCCAGTCATTACAGGGTCTTCACCAAGGAAATTCAGTTAACTCTTTCGATCCCAGCCAGCAGCTACTTTTTTCCAGCCAGATACATTATTTAATTATTTTATGAATAGTTAAACCTGACATCTTAAAATTGTGAATGCAGTCGTAAATATTTGAAACTCATTACTGTACTGCTTCAACATTTTATTGTAAATGTTTCAGCCTTGAAACTTCGCTACAGAACATCGTCAGCTAGAGACCCCATGCAGAAAGTTCATAGCACCTTTGGTAGAGTATCTACTCAACATTTCTTTCTAGATGACAGAAAACATGGCGTCGGTGAGTCATCTTATCACTCTTAATAGTATTATGGGTCACATTGTTTTTTTTGTAGATTCAGGGTTTTTTGAAAAGTATTGAGTTAGCTTTCTCGGTACCAGACAACTAACTATATATTTTTTCCTGACTGCAAGGGGGCTTCAAATAGAAACCTTAAATTTCGATTAAAAGTTACAGTAACCATTCCATTGTCTCGTAACCTGTCAAATTGTTGTTAAGGATGTCAAGAGTGTTAAGCTCTCCATTCAGGTGTGCCTTTCTTCCTTACTTTCTTTGATTCATATTTATTTTCTACCTTCTCCGTACTCTCTGTTAACTTTAATTTTCTTCTTCTCTGTGTTTGTATTTCTCTCTTTGCCCTTTGATTGCTTCATTCCTTACTTCCTGTTTTTTCTAGGTAGTGTTTTGAAGTATGCAAGGCAGAAATCAGTGAGAAAAGAAATTCCACACATAAATTTGCCAGAACAGGAGGATCAAGTGACTACAAAAGAGGTATAAACTATTATACTTATAATATTACATGTTACAAAGTTTATAGTATTCTATATTGTAACATATTTTAAAGTGCGTTCATGTGGTAAACACTGACCAATGAAATAAAAAAAAGAGTATCCTAACGGTTAAAAATCTGCCTCAAGTATTTCAGGATCCTCGCCGGTGCTACAGAGCCTGTGCACTGTGCTGAGCTTCTTCGGGCTCAGACTTGAGTTAGAAAAAGATCGGAGCACTTATGGGCTACTACCCATGTGCCATGATGTTGATCCATTTTTCAAAACCTCAAAACCTGTGCCAAGGAGCTAAATAGACAGCAGGCAATGAGCAAGCAATGTTGTCTGCTTTCCATATGTTTATTACTAACTCCTGATATGATGTTGCTGCTTAATTCCTTTTGTTGTCACAATCATCGTCATCCACCTGCATCCTGGCATACTATTATAAATCATATAGGTCCTTTAGTCTAGTCCTCCATTCCATTCTATCCTGTGACATCCTTTTGATATCATCAGGGAAATCTAGTCTAGCACCTTTGGCCATTCTCAGAACTGTCACAGAGTTTCTTAGGATGTCCTCATCCACCCCCCTCCCCCCACCCCAATATTTAGCGCCTTCTGTTCAGTCAAGTTTGAACTATTGTACTTAGACCCCAAATATTTTGTTAAAATAACAGCCAAATCAGATAGAATGGGTTAAAGTTACATCTGCTTTGAATAGAAGGAGTTTTAAGTTTGAGCAGAAGAAGTTTAATTTTGAATAGAAGGAGTTTAAGTAACCACTGTTTTAAATGCAACAAGTTAAAGTTGAGAAAAATGAGAAACAACCATTTCAGATAGAATGAGTCACAGAAAGAGCTTGTCTGTGATGGAAGGAGCTGAGTACTCGTTAAAACGGAAGCTATGGTAGACGCTAACCCACTGGCCTGAAAGCCTTAAGTTCAAATTTGCATCGAGATAGATTTTGTTCTCGAAAAGTCACTGTGGCTTCAGCATAGATTTTGTTCTCGAAAAGTCACTGTGGCTTCAGCATAGATTTTTTTCTCCAAAAGTCACTGTGGCTTCAGCATAGATTTTTTTCTCCAAAAGTCACTGTGGCTTCAGCATAGATTTTTTTCTCCAAAAGTCACTGTGGCTTCAGCGTAGATTTTTTTCTCCAAAAGTCACTGTGGCTTCAGCGTCGACCCTGCCAAAAATGGATACCAGGTAAAATCCAGGGAGGTAAAGGTGATCAGCATGATGTTGATCACATTACTGACCAAGTGCCAGTTGTTCTATCAAAATATGATTTTAGCATTATATGTCCCATCCATCACTGGTTTACAAAGGGTTCTTTATTAAAAATTGATCTGTTCTTTGTGAAAAAAAAGGTAACATACTAGTTGAAATATAAATATTTTACTGAGCTGGTTTTAGTTTTTCAGTTCCATTTACCTGTTGCTAAGCCTTTTTCTCACCTGTCTTTTTCATTCTTCTCTCCAGTGGATGCGGGTGTACAGCCTCAGAAAACTCAAGCTGGACCTGAACAAAATGATGTCTAGCCCTGACTGTAAGCACGAGGAGAAGAATGTGAAGATTCTTCATAAAAACGTTACAGCCAAAGTGTGAGTATTAAGGGTACTGTAATCTCATTGTCACAGTCATATCTTGATCATCATCATGTGCATCATTAGGCAGTCCAGACAATCAATGTTATTTTGCAGAAATTAGCTGGCTATGTTCTGGATTGTTCAGCATCTAATCATCCTGTGCGTCATTTTCCAGATTTACTAAGCATTGTTTTTCAAAGTGCAGAAATGATAGAACAACAAATGAGGCTGACTCCTTGATGCAGATAGTAAAGGTACTTTTTCCACGCCTTTTGGCTAGACCTATATTTTTGTAGACCAATCAACATAAGATGGGTGATGTGGTCAGCATCAGGCCGGCCGCCTTTACTTCTGGGGACTGCACCAGGTACCCACTTAAGGCTGGGTCCACCTGAGAGTCAAGGTCATTTTAAAAAAAAGGCTGGCTCTGCCAGGGAGCAAACCCACCATCTTTCGATTCGCACAGGAGCGTCTAGTCGCTACGCCACGGCGACTCCCCCTTGGTACAGATGAAACCCTTAAACTGATTGGAGAAATTAGACATAGACAGTGAGTGTCTCTTGGGCATGTGGTGAGAAGGAATGGTCTCGGTCTCTGGCAAGTTTGAGCAAGGGCAAGGTTCAGAGAGAAATACCTGGATAGCTTAGTCTTATGGATGGGGCAGGACAGTTACCTGATCCGTGACATGACAGCCTGTGCTTATTGGCATAGCACATGATGGTGATGTTGAAAAAGGGCAGTTAGCATGTTGTGTTATGGGTTGCAGCTAGGCTGTGATATCTGCATCTTTTGGCCCAACACATATGATTTCAGCAAATGTTTAATCAGTCACTTTTAACAATATGCTTGTTGAGGAGCACTGGGTCTGTTCTTCCCCCCTATTCTTCCCTCCCTCCTCTGAATTATAAATGGAGCCCTAAAACACACACTGGGAGAAAGACATGGTCTGTGTTCAATCCCTAATGCTGGTGAGAATATTTTTTCTAATCTGTGTGGCTTAAATGTTAACCTAGCCTCATAAAGTTGGTACTCACACATTTTAAGAATTGCCAGGAAATTGTCTGGGAAATAAAGGTGGCAAGGAGGGGGACTGACAAAATCATAAATAGTTTTTTTGTTATCATCTACAGGTACCCCGATGTCTTCCCGACTGTCAACGTCAAAGGCACCATGAAGTACATGCAGCTGTTGCCTCATGAGCTTAATGAGTACGAAGTTCAGTTAGAAAAGGTCCTCACTAGATACTTGAAACGGTTTCAGTGGCTCTTAAGTGGTAAACGCTTTTTCTCACTTGGTCAGCGGTCTTATATAATGCAGTGGTGAAATATAACTTTGCAGTGGGTGCTGTTACATTATATCATAATATGACATAATATAGGGGAGCAAGAAGTGTGTGAAAGAACTCTAGTCATTAGTTTTTACTAATACTAGCAAGTGATGAGATGTGCCTTCTTAGAGAGAATTACAAGGTGTATATTAAAATTTTTTTTTAAAAGGACAGGAGGGAAGTAAAGCCCTAGGTGGAGCAAGAGAGAAGAGGGAAGTAGAGCCCTAGGTGAGCAAGAGAGAAGAAGGAAGTAGAGCGCTAGGTGGACCAAGGACAGGTGGTAAGGTAACATCAGAGAAACTCTACAACAGTATCAGCTGTCTATAATCAAGGTCGACCCAGTCTAAAATGGGTACCAGGATGGCTGTTCCGGGTTAGTAAAGATGTCCGGCCTAATGCTGACCACATTACTCACATAGTGCTGATGTAAAGATATGGGCGCTCTTCTCATATACCCGATACGCCTAGTGGTGTGAAAAGGGATCTTTACTTTTTTTTAAACTTATAATCAAGGTGGCCAGAAGAGCTAAAACAGAGCCCTGCATCTTTTCAGGATTCTCTAAGCAGTAAAAAGGAAGTGAAAAAGACGTAAAAATTAGTTAGAAATATTTTGAAGCTCCTCCCCCATTCTCTTGTACCCCATTTTGAGGAAGAAAAAATAGCTGCCTACCCCTTCTTCTTTACAAGCATGTCCTAGAAGGTGACCAGTTAGAGGTAATTTCTTCAATGGCGAGGAAACAGCAATCTGCATACTAATAAGCCAGATTTGTAAAATGGATGTGCATGCAAAGCTCAAGGGTATTGAGGTGGATTCATGGAAAAAACTGACATGGAGGTGGATTATAAGGAAGGGAATAGAAATAAAAGAGAAAATAATTGCAGACGGGTTAAGAGCTGAGAGGAAGCATGTTAAATTCATGCAGTGGCAACAATGGTCCTGAAATCCCATGATCTAATTAATTGGTAATTTTTGCTTTAACGTGAGCGGGTCTTGCCAGTCATACTCGCTATTGTTGTGGGTTCATATTCTGAAGCCTACATATAGCACTGTATAGCGCTGTCAGTCAGAAAAACGGAAGGTCAATCAACCAATATATATATATATATATATATATATATATATATATATATATATATATATATATATCTGTATATCTGTATATATATATATTTATATGTACACATACTGACACACACTTACATACATATATATATATATATAACAAAAAGTGAATATGGTGACTGGATAAGTCGTATTTTATTTGTACACACTGACTAAATGTGCAGATTAATTTTTATAAAGTACTATTTTATTAATCTAGGTAAACAGGTATGTTTTTCCTCTTTTATGAACAGGTAGTCGCAGAGTGTTTGGAACCATTGTTCACAAACATGTTGCCATTTTGATAGACACTTCAGGGTCCATGGAAACCTACATGGATGAACTGAAAAGAGAATTGGCATCTCTTGTGTGGGAACAGTTACATCAGCAGAATATTAGGTAAATATGGTTGTTTCCAATCTTTAAACTGTTTTTGTACTGGATTAGATTGACATACAGATAGGCCTGCCTCTTACTCCCGAGAGAAGGCCAAATGTGGTCACTTCCGGTTGTGGTACAGCCCAGTAAATGCTGATGTCTGGCCATTTTTGCAGTGACTTGTTCTTGAGAAGCCTAGTTAAAAAAGTCATTGGTTTTATGTGCTCCTGCGTACGGTCTAGGAGGCCTGGATGTGAATATATTAACTAAATTTAGCATTAAGAAGGGGGGTTCCTTGTAAATCCAATAGCTTATTTAATGCAAGGTTGTCTCACAATTTCCCAGTAAGCCTCAGTGATAGAGGTCACGAGGTCACAGCGTGAGTCACCTGATAGATTTTATTTTAGGCGCCCCATTCCATTTAACGCTTTACACTGTTCCTGTTTATTCAGTACTTGCTCCTTTTGTATGTCTTTACATATTTTGAAATACAGTTTTTTAAAAATGTAGGTAAATAAGTTTGTAAATAATTTATTAGTTACCTGTGTGAAAATAGCTCTCTCCCCTTCCCCACAACCCTAAGGAATTCCCCCGGGTTCCTGACCCATTTTTTAGCATTCACACTGTGAAAGGGCTAAATTAACAAGTGCAGAAAGCTGCCTTGAGTGATTATTACTAATAAAGAATGTGAGGATATTGTACCCTTTCCCCTGATATCCACATCATTTACTGAACCTCTGACCTTCTGAAACAAGGATGAAAAAAATAGGAGGTCTGGTTTGCATATTTTATATATTACACATTTTCCTGTAGTTGAAAATTATAAACAATGACCCTGGCATTGTTTCAGAATGGGTAAAAATTAGCCAATAACATGTAGATGTCCATTTATTTCATAGACTAAAGTGAGGCCTTTGACTGTGTTCACCATCTGAAAATTTGAAACCTTATAAAAATATTCTCAATGCAGGCTGCAATATAGGGATTGGGGTGGGGGAAAAAAGGGGGGGGGGGGGGGGAATTGACAAGCATGTTGTAAAATCTTACTAATTAAGGGATTGCTGAAAGCTGCAGATATTGCAGCATAGCTGTAAACCACAAGGCTATGTGCCGTCTGGCCTTTTGAGGGTTACCTCAGAAAAAGAAATGAAAATTTTTTTTTTAGCTGATCTGTTTAAAATAATGCTTTCCAAAACCATTCATTCTAACCACAGCTGTAACAACATATTCAGTTTAATCTTATCCATGTTGATTTGAGAACAGATTTATTAAGAAATTTTGTTTCAGTTGTTTTTCTCATTTAATTATATTCTTGTCATTCAGGTTCAACTTGATCAGTTTTTCTGGATCTTGTTCTGTCTGGAAAGATGCCATCCAGACACCATCAGAAGCAAACTGCCACGACGCAATCAGATGGATCTTCCACATGCAGGCTGGAGGAAATACCTGTACACTAGATGCTCTACGGGTAATGAACATTTGTTTCCTGTATATTGTTGATCGTTCTTTTTCTTCTCCCAAAAGTAATGATGATTGAGTCGTCTGTAGGCTTCAGCTAGAAGTGTCATTGACATGTTTCGTTCATTCATTTTAGGAAGAAATCAGAGTATTAATTTCCTGTGTGAACAGGGCATACCAGAGGCAGCAATTATTGGAACTACAAAACATACACACTTTTACACTCGCATATGTGTGTATACACAAAAACACACACCTATTCTTCTTCTTCTTCTCTTCCACCTTGTACCTCATCGAAGTGTCGGGGGGAGATGTAATGTTCGTTGATGGGCTCTGTCAAGAGCACTATTAAGACTGATGTTCATTTCTGTAAGGCTGTTCTTAATGCCATCACTCCATATTTTCCATGGTCTTCCACTCGCTCAATACCCGTTGTAACGTTTTAGTGTGGCTCGCTGTGGCGGATAGTACCAGGGCATTCTTGTTAGGTGTCCAAACCACTTCATTTGTTGTTCTTTGATGACCTGTAAGACTGGCTTTATTCCTAGCATTCGTCTGTTTTCATGATTTCGTATTCTGTCTTTCCTTGAAACTCCTGCAGCTCTTCTTAGGCATTTCATCTCTGTTGTCACAATTTTACGTTCATTGGAGGATGTAAGTGTCCACGTTTGGCATTGATAGCATAGTGTTGGCCAAAAAATAGTTCTGATAAGATTCACTTTAGTACTCTGAGGTATCTGCTTGTGTGTCAACAGGGGAAATAGTTGACCCATTACTTGATTAGCTTTGGCACACCTATGAATGCATGATATTTACATTGTATGCGACTAAATCTTCTTCCTAGCTTTCACTGGCTGTAAACTCTTTACTTTGATCACTGGCATCATGAGCACTATTAGACTGAAATGGCTAAGGCATATTGAGAGAATGTCTGATGACAGAGAGGTAAAAACTATGTACACAAGAGAATTCAATGGTCATAGACCATAAGGTAGACCAAGAAGATGATGGAGAGACTTTAGTCTTGTTCCAGAACTTAAAATTGTGTGTGTACATCCATTTTACAGATTTGGCTTATTTGTATGAAGACTGTTGGTTCCTTGCCTGTCAGGCAGATGCACTCTGACTTCAAAGGAAATCCCTAAATTGTCTACTCCTATGACATGCTTGTTGTGGGGGGGGGGGGCAGTGGGTCTGTTCTTGTTTCCCCCACAATGGGACCCTGGTACCCACACGGAGAGTATTTAACTAAATTAATCTAATGTCTTCCTCAGTTAACATTCAGTGACCCTGACATTGACGCCATCTACTTGCTGACAGATGGTAAACCAGACACAAGTACTGCGCTGGTTCTACGGGAGGTGGCTAAGATGAATGAGAACAGAAATGTGACTGTCAACACTATCTCAATCAACTGTACAGACAGGTAATGTCTGTTGTATTATATACACAGAGGCACATTTGATATGTTTTCATTATGTGCGTAAGGTTAAAAAAGGTAAAGGTCAAGTCGGGAGATGTGAACCAGCGACACTGCACACGGTTAAAAACCATAAGTGCTCTGCCACCAATACAGACAGCTGATGAAAAACTGTCCGCCTGTGTCGCTGCCCGCACATAACTCTGTAGCTACAACGAAGTTCCTCCATTTACTCCAGAGTGTTAACTATGATACCCATTTTCTAGAGGCTGGGTGAACCCCAAGAGCCGCCCGGTTTTGAACACCGACCGTAGCTGCAGCAAGTCGCAACTGGATTTGAAAGCGAGAACATAAGGTTGACAAGCTTCAGTTTGTTTTATATAGGAGTAATTTTTGGGAAAAAGAATGTAATCAACTGAGCCATAGGGAAGCTGAGTATAAGGAAAACATTACTGAATGAAATCAAAGTCATCATAAATCATGTTCTATGTAGAAACTTAGTTTCATTGTAACCCTTCGCGAATACTGCATCCTTTGACAGTTTGGCTGTCTCATGAATGTTCATTCCCAGAATGCCTTTGATGGCTATTACCCATTTCTTGTTGGTCAGTCCTTGCTTCTTCTTCCAGAAACATTTCATTACTATTCTTTCAACACTCCTGTTATGTTTAAGGTAACAAAATCCACACAGATGAAATGCCTTGCTGATGACTGTAGCAAAGTTATGATGCTCTTACAGTTGTTCAGGAGGATAATATTACATGTGAGGAAATAACAGCAAGAGACTCAGGAAAAGTCTGGTACTGTCTGAAAGTAGAAGACAGAAATGGTAATTGATTTAATCTCTTCCTCCAGATCTTCTTCATTGTTTGTTCGAGTGATTTAATTTATGTTGTGCCTGTTTACAGCATAGCTGCAGACATTTGCTCACCAGGTTAGCTTTTCTAGTTGATTTCATGGACATGATGAAGTCTTATCTGTGTGGTGTCCTCTTGGTTAGCCTTCTCAGTTGGTTTCATGGAACATGATGAAGTCTTATCTGTGTGGGTCTCTTGGTTAGCCTTCTCAGTTGGTTTCATGGAACATGATGAAGTCTTATCTGTGTGGTATCCTCTTGGTTAGCCTTCCCAGTTGATTTCATGGACATGATGAAATCTTTTCTGTGTGGGTCTCTTGGTTAGCCTTCTCAGTTGGTTTCATGGGACATTATGAAGTCTTATTTGTGTGGTATCCTCTTGGTTAGCCTTCCCAGTTGGTTTCATGGACATGATGAAGTCTTATCTGTGTGGGTCTCTTGGTTAGCCTTCTCAGTTGGTTTCATGGACATGATGAAGTCTTATCTGTGTGGTATCTCTTGGTTAGCCTTCCCAGTTGGTTTCATGGACATGATGAAGTCTTATCTGTATGGGTCTCTTGGTTAGCCTTCTCAGTTGATTTCATGGACATGATGAAGTCTTATCTGTGTGGGTCTCTTGGTTAGCCTTCTCAGTTGATTTCATGGACATGATAAAGTCTTATCTGTGTGGGTCTCTTGGTTAGCCTTCTCAGTTGGTTTCATGGGACATGATGAAGTCTTATCTGTGTGGTATCTTCTTGGTTAGCCTTCCCAGTTGGTTTCATGGACATGATGAAGTCTTATCTGTGTGGGTCTCTTCGTTAGCCTTCTCAGTTTGGTTCATGGACATGATGAAGTCTTATCTGTGTGGTATCTCTTGGTTAGCCTTCTCAGTTGATTTCATGGACATGATAAAGTCTTATTTGTGTGGTATCCTCTTGATAAGCCTTCCCAGTTGGTTTCATGGACATGATGAAGTCTGTATAGTGTCCTCTTTATCACTTTACCTACAGGTGTTGTCCCCTAGAGAACCTGTCCATGGCAGGCATGCACAGACTTGTGAGCCCTCCAGGGAAGGCAAGGACAGAACATGAGCATTTCCCACCATGCAAGGAGGTTTCTATAAATACAGAGCCGACATTTGATGCTTTGGTCCTAGGCTCACATCCTGCACATAACTGTTTAACCTCACATCCGTATGTTGAGCTTCCTATAAATCTGTGAATTTGATGACCATACATTTGGGCAAAATCTCCCTCACCACATTAGAGACCTATATTGTAGTTGCATCAGGACAACTAGCATGACAGTATGAAAGGCATGCATCAGGCATGATCTCCCCTTATAGTCCAGAAATCAGAAAGCAAGTTATTTTTTTTACGCCTTAGAACAGTACACAAGTCGACTTCGCAGCCACATGTACACATTTAAAATGGGCGAATCAGCCATGTGCACATGTGGTCTGGCACCTGAGACAACAGATTATGTCTTCCAAGACTGTCCCAAATACAACATATTGCAGATATAGATAATCAATTTCAAGGGGTCGAAAGAAGAAGAAGTCCAGACACTTTGACAAGTGGGGCCAGTTGTAGCAGACATTTGAACCATTATGTTACACAGTAGGATAACTGATGGCAGGACATTTGAAACTCTCTGTTACCAGTAGTACAGTTAATGGTTAGACATCTGAACTTAAGGAGCAGTTTAGAAGGACTTTTAATTGACGGTTGTTTGAACCAAGGTTTGTTATATAGTAGGATATTGAGGCTTCACTCATATTTCAAATAAGTTTTTTATGGATGTTATCACCCATGTAGTGAGGGGTGGACTGATAAGAGCCAGAGGATTTCTGGACACTGCCTCTCTGGGGGCCCCAGCTCAGATCCCCTGCTAGCTTGGTTTAGGCAGATATAGGCCATTTCTAGGGGCCCCATCTTAGATCCCCTGCTAGCTCGGTTCAGGCAGATATAGGCCATTTCTGGGGGCCCCAACTCAGATCCCCTGCTAGCTCGGTTCAGGCAGATATAGGCCATTTCTGGGGGCCCCAACTCAGATCCCCTGCTAGCTCGGTTCAGGCAGATATAGGCCATTTCTGGGGGCCCCAACTCAGATCCCCTGCTAGCTCGGTTCAGGCAGATATAGGCCATTTCTGGGGGCCCCAACTCAGATCCCCTGCTAGCTCGGTTCAGGCAGATATAGGCCATTTCTGGGGGCCCCAACTCAGATCCCCTGCTAGCTCGGTTCAGGCAGATATAGGCCATTTCTGGGGGCCCCAACTCAGATCCCCTGCTAGCTCAGTTCAGGAGGATATAGGCCATTATCTGTGGCACACAAAGAGGACGTATAGCAGGAGTTTGTAATGAGGATCTGTAAAAGCAGCACAAAGCCTCCCGGAGCTCAAGGCGAGGTACAGATTACCGCATTAAAAAAAAAAACCATCACAACAGCCTAAACTTGTTCTCATGCCTGTGACCAAAATCAGCGTGCTACTGATTGATTTCTGCGGACCTCAATTACAAAAAAAGCGATTCTGTCACCAGAAATTAGCATAGAATATAAATTTCAGATTCAAACAAGGCGTTGAAGAATCTTTTTCTTCTTAATTTTCTTCTGCATTTACCTTTAAAACAGGAGTCTGCATGTTGTGTTATTGGTAGGAAGCAATTGTGTCATTTATTGTCTTCCTCATGGGCTTTCCGAAATGCATGCTGGGATTAGGGATTTTAGTTGTGTATTCAAACATGGCAATAATAACCATTTTAACTGTATCAGTCCCTAACATACACCCAGGTATGAGAGGTAGACGAAGTACATGGGGGTTTATAGCAAAAGCATATGGATGTCACTTAGTGCAACAAAACCAGGCATATTATATCACAGCGTCTAGGCTGAGAATGGAGGTGGAGGCTGTCAGTGCTGCCTTCCTCTGGATTGAGAATCAGCTGTACACACATGTGGTAGTTGTAACTGTCTCACAGAGTATATGGAGAAAGGTGGAGACAGGCATGCTGCATGCAGAGTGGCTAGCATTGCTTCAGAGGTCCTGGGTAGTTGGCATCCATTAGATATTTTCTCCAGGTTATGCTGGTGTGTTGGGAAACTAGCAGGCAGATATACTGTCTGGTTCTGCATCACTTTCTGAGGAATTGATGTATGACAAGCTAGCTATTTAGAGGGCCCTTTGAGAGTGAGTGAACATTGAGGAGGCACAAATAGATCATCACAGTCTGAGGAGAATAGCACTGGGGAAGTTACCAGGGGATCTGGGTGAGACTAAACACTCAAGGGACAGTTGAGACCGATGTACAGTCAGACAGTAACTGGTACCATCAGAATTCGAACTCTCCGCTTGCTACTGAAGATGGGAGCCGGTGTACTTATGGGAGTGTCCCGAGTGCTATGATGTCAATTTAATGCAACATTCAGTATATACCTATTGAGAAGTATAAATGTTTGAACATAATGGTTGTGAGAATAGTTTATTATAAAGATTACATTCAACATGATTTCCAGTCATGAACATTTTTTATACATTTAAGCACTGCAAACAATTTCCTGAAACTGCTGGCCAGCGAGACAGGAGGACGTTACCATCGAATCCAGACAGACTTTGATGCTCAAGTTTTTGTACACAAACTTCTGTCTGAAGGTTTCAATGATTGTGAGGTTTGTACTGAGAATTGTATTTATTGATTACATATTTTATCTTGCTGAGTAAAGAAATGACAGCCTACAAAAAATAAATTGCGGCAGTTTGTGATAAAGTCTAAGAAAACAAAAACCTTTTGTTAAATGACATGGCACCACATACTTAACACAGCACCATACTAGTTCTTATATCAATCTTGTATTCAGAATATATCTCTTGCTTTTTTTTTTTAAAAGGGTCTAGACGCAACCCAAGTACTATTTCAACCATCAACCTTCTAGCGGCTATTCGCTCGCCTGCAGACTGGAAGGTGATGGGTTCGGGTCCTGACAGGGCCGGACTTTAGCGGCGTCCGTGGCTTAGGTGTTGTGAGTCCGACTCCTAATCCAACATACCGTGATCGAAACCCACTGCTGGCTGCGTGGATTTTTATCATGGTGTGGGGTGTCGCAGGTCGACCCAGCCTAAAATGGCTACCAGGATTTCTCTCCTGGGGAAGTAAAGACGGCCGGCGTAACGCTGACCACCTTACCCACCCAGTGCCGATTGATCTGTAAAAATATGGGAGGCTCTTCCCATTTACCGGATGCGCCTAAGGCAGGAAAAGGGACCTTTACTTACTTTACATTTTTTTCTAATGCTGTAGTTAAAAAGATAGTGTCATAGTGTTATGCTGTAGAATATGAGACCTTATTATGAGGCTATCAGTTGGGCTTCCAAGTTTTTGTGTTAGTGACAACTACACAAAATATCTGTCGCTGTCCCTTGTAAAAGGTCACACAGACAGCAGTTCTAGCAAAATCCAACAGCTCACACACATATTACATTCATAAAGCAGCCGCCAGAGGTGTGTCATAAAATCACTATTCATAGTTAATGGAAGCAGCAGTCATGACAAACCAGCAGGGTGCATGTATCTTATTGAATAAGGCACACTGCCAGTTCTGTGGCATTATGCCACTTGCCATTTTTGAATATGCTGTTTTCAAAACACAAATCTGGGACCACAGTCATAGATGATTCCCCATAAAATCAACAGCTAACAGTGTTTTATAAAGCCCTCAGCTCGTTAGCCGGCCAACAGAACCAGATTTTACGTTTGCCTCATTTGTCATCCCGACCAGTTTCATGCTGGGGGTTGAAATCCCAACCTTCCACTCAATTACTGGGGAGAACGGGTCCACCACATGAAGGTAAAGTAGGCTCGAGCAAAAGAGGCAAAGAGGCATAAAGTCTCATATTACCTATCAGTACTCCATTAGAACCCCTGACTTTCAAATAGTCTAGGCTATGATGTATGAGATAAGGTTTCCATTTCCCTTTCTCATTACTTATCCTTCCCAGAAAATTTCCAGAAAATGTCAGAAATGTAATCATACCTAATTTGTATGCGGCATGGTTGACCTTAAAGCTGTCGTCATCATCATATAGCAGGTCCTTTGACCAATGTCACTCTCATCACAGTCTGCCTGAAATAAACTTGGTCTCTTGCACGCCTGCCCCTCGTGCTGTTTCATATCCAAGTAGTCATATCCTGTGCCCATCCTCATGTTAGTCTGTCCCTGCTTCTCCTTCCTGATACCGCGCCTTCTGCTATTATTTTTCCAGCCCTCCGTGGTGCTTGATATGGCAAAAAGTTTTCAGCTTCCAAGACAAGATGCTGTTTATTAGCTAGTCTTCCTTGATGTTCAGATCTTTTAGAATGTCAGTATTTCGTTTCTTCTTTGTCCATGGTATCTTTCTATAGCATTTCAGTTCAAAAGCCCCTATTTGTTTTCTTCAAGAGTGCCATGCTGGACAGAAATATAGTCCTGCCTCTACTGGGGATTGTACCTGGACCACTGGCTCAATAAGTAGGCCTAGTTGCCACTGTGGCTGCCCTATAGTGTTGGGAGTAATGTCTTGTTCTTGTAGCATCAGTTGTGATGATGCTGAGCTCAGTTAAGTTACTCAGGAAAATAAAAATGTATAGAAAAAAAGATTACACGGGAAAAAAAATGAATTAAAGGTTAACAGTTATGTTAATGATCACTAAAGATATATTCTCAGAAATTCAGTGTTATGGAAAAATTGCTAAATGTTTGAGTAAGGGGAGGGAGGGAGAAAGAGAAACATAGAAACCTAAGCAAATGTTAATTAAAACAAAAACCCTCACAAAAAATATACGTGTTTTTATGTGTGTGTAGGTATTGTGCCTGTGAGTATATGTCAGAGTGGTTTGGCTGAATGGAAAAAAAAGAGGGAGGGGGACATACAAACACAAGCACATGTGAATTAAAACAATACATACACAAATAAATGTTTGCATGTGTGCGTGTGCGTGCATGTGTGCGCACACACACACATCTATGTGTATGTGCAGTATGTGAGAGAGAGAGCGTAAGAGAGATTGACAGTGACAGAGTGATAAAGAGGAGAGAGGGGGGAATCATGTTATAACATTTTCCAAACGCTTATTTCAGTATCCACACCTACCCACATTTGAAGGGGATGACCTGCGCAGGTTAGGCACAGAAATCTACCTAGCCCGCAGGTTTCTGCAGCAGGCAAAGACTTACAAGTAAGCTCTTGTTTATCTGCCTATCTTATCTTTGTCAGCGTTATCTGTTTCAGTGTTACATGTGCCACTGTTATCTGTGTCAGTGTTATCTGTGTCAATGTTACATGTGTCACTGTTAACTGTGTCAGTGTTATCTTTGTCAGTGTTACATGTGTCACTGTTATCTGTGTCAGTGTTATCTGTGTCAGTTTTATATGTGTCACTGTTATCTGTGTCAGTGTTATCTGTGTCAGTGTTACATATGCCACTGTTATCTGTGTTACTGTTATCTGTGTCACTGTTATCTGTGTCAGTGTTACATATGCCACTGTTATCTGTGTCAGTGTTACATGTGCCACTGTTATCTGTGTCAGTGTTACATGTGTCACTGTTATCTGTGTCAGTGTTACATGTGTCACTGTTATCTGTGTCACTGTTATCTGTGTCAGTGTTACATATGCCACTGTTATCTGTGTCAGTGTTACATATGCCACTGTTATCTGTGTCAGTGTTACATATGCCACTGTTATCTGTGTCAGTGTTACACGTGTCACTGTTATCTGTGTCAGTGTTACATGTGTCACTGTAATCTGTGTCAGTGTTACATGTGTCACTGTTATCTGTGTCAGTGTTACATGTGTCACTGTTATCTGTGTCAGTGTTACATGTGTCACTGTTATCTGTGTCAGTGTTACATGTGTCACTGTTATCTGTGTCAGTGTTACATATGCCACTGTTATCTGTGTCAGTGTTACATATGCCACTGTTATTTGTGTCAGTGTTACATATGCCACTGTTATCTGTGTCAGTGTTACATGTGCCACTGTTATCTGTGTCAGTGTTACATGTGTCACTCTTATCTGTGTCAATGATCTCTCTGTAGTAAAACAGTGAGAGAAGGTCTTACATATTGTCATGGAAATTGAAAACTGGCAAATAATTCTTTAAAAACATTTACTTGTAGAAATTACGCAGTAAAAGTAAGGATCATTTTCCACACCTTCAGGTGTATTGGGCATATAGGGCTAGACCTATATTTTATAGACCAATCGGCAAGTGATGTAAGTGATGTGGTCAACATTACGTTGGCTGCCTATACTTCCTTGGACTGTATCTGGTACTTTGGTCAACCTGGAAACTATGGTCATTTATGACAAAAGTCAGCCTCCACCAGAAGCTGAACCTATGACCTTCCGATAGAAATTACCTAGTATTGACATATTTACAATAATTCTATTTGGTATACTTTCTAGTGTAATATAGTGTGTATGTGAATGTTATACGTACTTATGAATACACAGACACACACATTTAATGTTATATCTTTGTAGATTAGTGTTCTTTTGTGTGGCACTATGTTGTGTAAATGGTAATATGTAGTATAATGTTATTGTGTATATTGTGGGAGAAGTTTAGAGTATCCTGTTTGTATAGACAAGATGACTATCAGTAAGTGATTTGGCCTATATCATGCCAACAGCTTTTAGTTCACAAATGATATCCTGAAACCCCATAAAGACTGGGTAACCTGGGTAGAACAGATCACCTGTGAAATGAGAAGTTTGAGAATGGCTTTGCACAAAACTAGAAGAGATCATGTCAGAAAGGAAGAAAAAATAAGAACCGTTGGAACAACACTTATATGTAATTAAATTAATTGAAAAAGAAAGACTGAAATGGTTTGGTCGTTAATAAGAATGAATTCAATAATGCCAGCAAAAAAAGAGCGTACAGCATGAAAGTGGAAACACCAAGAGCTAGGGGATGACCAAGAAAAATGTGGATTGAAGGAGTTATTGATACTTTGAAACTCCACAACAACACAGCATACCGAGCAACCATATGGGCTCCTAGCTACACAAAGCAGAATATGGACAAAAATCAAAAAAGGAAACCTAGGTCAATTTAAAAAAAAAAATCGTCTTTATTTCTATGGGGATTTAAACAGAAGACCGTCATGCTGACGGTCAATCATTCAAGCCATTCAAGACTGTGATGGTGGTGACCACATGCTGTGATGGCAGTAGAAGAATATACTATATGCATGTCTTATTGTAGCCCATCCATAACAGTTGGAGAACCACAAAACACATGGAAGAAATGTTAAAGGAATTCATCATCATGTGCCCTGCCAACTGGCATAGGCGCTCATGCATCTCCACAGATCACGATCCCTGGTTGACTGGAACAGATCTCTTGATGATATCCCTCCATGCCATCGTTTCAGCCCATCCAGCATCATCTCTCTTGGTCTGTCTTTACCCCTTTTTCGACTGATCTTTCCAGTTGTCACGATGTTCTCCAATGTCCCTCTTCTCATTATTTGACCAAAGAATAGTGTTTGTCTCTTTCTTATTGTTGTATTTAAAGATCTACTTTCATTAGCCTCTTTCAGGCATTCGCTGTTAGTTACTCTGGCCATCCAAGGTATTTGTAACATTCGTCTCTGAAACCATATCTCTGTTGCTTCCAAATTCTTCTTAATTTGTTCAGTGACATTCCAAGATTCGCTGCCATACAGGAGAACAGGTTCTGTGTAACATTTTAGCACCCTCTTTCTGATATTAAATGAGAGCAATTTATTGCATAAGATATGTTTCATTTTCTAAAATTAAATTAAAATTGTCCTTATTAAAGGAATTGAAAAAAAAAATTCTTACGAAATTTATGAACATTAAATAGGATGAAGGGTAAAGAAATGAGGCAAATATCTGGACAACTGCATGTATCATTTGTTTGCCTCGCGCTCTGAAGATCATGGGTTCATTTCATGGTGGCACCTTCCAATTCACGAGTGCAGTTTTTACGGATATCCCCGGGGATCATTGCCGGAGCTACAGAGGTTGTGCTCTGTGCGACACTCTCAGCAGGTAGCTAGCTGTTTTGCGGAGAGAGACTGAGCCACATTGGGTAAAACCTGGTCAATGAAGTCGATCCTGTCACCTTTACCTTTACCTTTAATTTTATGACAAAGAAGGTGGCAATATATTGGGCACAATATTGAGAGAAATGGACTCAGTCACAAAACAGGCCCTGAAATGAGAAACTGATTGAAGAAAGAGGGACACCTAAGAGCAACCCTGCTGAGATTAATTAGATGTTGTTGAGAGAGGCTAAGGATGCTTAACTGGATTCCATCCATGATATCCAGAGGATTGCACATGACAGAATACACTGGAGGACTAATCTGCGAACCCAGTGTGATGAAAAATGGCACCACAGGATGATGATTATATTTTGTTTACTTGTAGATCTCATTATCAGAATGTGAAAAAAATAACAAGCAAACTGAGACATATGGTACTGATGACATTAGCTTTTATTGCTTCTTTATCCCCAGAGCTCTATATAAAGCAAAGGCAGCTCAAAATACAGAAAAACCAAACACATCTAGAGGTATGTGGGCTGTAAAGAGCCATGTCAAATATAGAAATGTCTTTTGTTTGAAACTAGGAGTATAGCATGCTGGAATTTACTTCATTTTAGCTTTTGATTAAATTTAGTTTTAGTCAACATACCACTGAAGCTTAGTTCAGAGATGGCTGCCATGTTTGTAGCTATTTATCTAAATCCTCTTCGTGTCATTGTTGACGCATTAAAGAATTCACAGGTGACCTCCACTATTGCCAGTCTGCTACTTTTATGCCATTGGTATTTCATATCTTATATTTCCTTTTCCACTGTTCTTTGCCAGGTTTCCTCAAGTCGGCCACATCTCCTTTTTCTCCCTCCATCCGCCATCCCTCACAGAGCTGTCCTTGCCACAGTGTCATAAACATGTCCTAGCTATCTCCGTCTTCTTTCTTTGATAATGTTTGCCTGCAATAAATATTTTGTCTTCCTCCTCAGTTCTTCATTTGGGATCTTGTTTCGCCTGTAAATATTTTTGGGACAAACAATTTGTAGCTGTGAGTTATGCTAGAAATAAAAAACAGAAGAATATACAGAGTTGTCAGTAGTCTTATTATATTCAATAATTGATCTGCCATAAAATTGCATACATTAAATGTTTACCTCTTACTTTAGAAGAGAGAATTAGATTTTCACTAAAGAGAATTAATTGAATAACTAAATTTTTTTTTTTTTAAATTCAACCCAGCATTTACAATTTAACTGATGCACTACTTAAAGATGCTAAAAATGAACTCGAGATTTACACATTCAGCTATTGCACTACACACACATTCAGAACTAAAAAATGGCCCTAAATATACTAAATTCCACTGCGGCGTCTGTGGCTAAGGCGTTGTGAGTCTGACTTGTAATCCAACGTACCGCAATCAAAACCCACTGCGGGCTGCGTGGATTTTTATCGTGGTACAGGTCGACCCAGCCTCAAATGGGTACCAGGATGGGCTGTCCTGGGAAAGTAAAGACGGCCGGCGTAATGCTGACCACATTACCCACCGAGTGCCGATTGGTCTGTAAAAATATGGGTGCTCTTCCCATATGCCCAATGCGCCTAAGGGTGTGTAAAGGGATCTTTACTTTTTTACTTTTACTATAAATTCTACTGAGAGTTGTTCCATATTAGTCTAGATCAGTGGTCAGCAAATCAGAACCAATTTGTGGCCGACTGGCCGAGCCGGTGACTGCTGCCCTCCGCTCGCTTGAGAATCAGCTGCATACACACATGCCATAATTGTAACTGACCTACGGAGCTTGTTGAAAAGGTGGAGACAAGCATACTCTGTGCAGAGTGGCAAGCATTACTTCAGAGGTCTGGGTACTTAGCATCCTTGGATATTTTTTTCAGGTTTTGCTGGTGTGTTGGGAAATGAGCAGGCATACAGACTGGCCGTTTCTGCACCACTTGGTGATAAATTGATGTATGACAAGCTAGATGTTGTAAGGGTCCTTTGGGAGCGAGGGAACAGTGCTGAGGCACAGATAGATCATCACGGTCTTATGAAAATGGTGCTGTGAGGAGTTACCAGGGGATCTGGGATCAGCACTAAAGGGAAAAGTGAGACAGATGTACAATCAGACAGTTACTGGAACTCTTCGCTTGTTGCTGAAGAGGCGACAAAGCGCTTATGGGAGTGTACCGAGTGCTGTGATGTCAATTCTTAATTCAGCATTCAACTTTGTTTGACTTATTTTTTTTCTTCATTTCAGCAGGTAATTGTGTAATAGATTCATCAATGTGTTTTTTTTTTCCTCCTAGGCGCCATGCCATTTGTTGTTGGAAGACCAAGGCCAGTACCACTTGTCTGTTCTTGAACAGTGATTTTAATTACACTGAACCACATTTCCTGTGAATGTTGCAGATGTTAAACAGACTTGAATTAATGTGATAACAGAATTATATGTTAGTGTCTAGATATGAACACTAGGTCGAAAGTGACATCACAGTTATGTATAATTTAAAATGTAAGTGTGTTTTAAATGTAAGATGGTGACAAATATTTTAAGATTGTCTTCAAAGCTTTAATAACAAATAAACAAATAGTTGGTAAATATCTATGATGTTTAACCAAAACTATTTCCATAAAAGGATCGACTTCAGTTCCTGAAATGACTACTTATATAAATGAATCCTTTATAAGAATGGTTTTCAGCTATAAAGGTTAGTTATCATAAAAGGAAAGGGTTCGGAATCCAAAATGTCCACCTACATAAACTGATTTAAAAAAAAGAAAACGAATGGCATTGAGTTGCCAAAATGTTTATCTTAATGGGGTATGGTCCAAACCCAACCATACCTGCTTGCACACATGAATTCTTTTTTGAGAGTGCAAAAATTAAGACCGGAATAGGGGCCAGATAATAAACTGACATCTCTACATAAAGTAATGAATTCTGTATGAAATGGCATTGAGCTGTCAAAATAATTGAACTTTATAAGGGTTGGATCCAAACCCTCTCTGTGTCTCTCTCTCTCCATGCCTTTCTCTCTCTCTCTCTCTCTCTCTCTCTGTGTTTCTCTCTCACAATCACACACACAAAACACACACCAACCCACACAGTCACACCTCAATCTTCACCCGTTTTCTTTCCGGTCTACATGAATGAAATTTTTAAAATAAGAAGAACAGTATTGAGCTGCTAGTGGTAGACAAACCAGTGAGCGAAAGGAAAGCAGCAGCGACACCAGCAATCGTGTTAATGTACGCAGCTGCAACACTTTCACTCCAGTGATCTAGAAGAAAAAGCCAGTTACCCTGATTCAGGGAGAGGAAAAAAGGCCTTGAAAATACAAATATTTTTCATTTGTCACAAACAAACCATAACAATTCCATTTATAGACCAAAAGAATATCACAATCCATACAAAGTAAGGGGAGTAATCTGTATATATGAATGCAGCAGAGATTTGACTAGGTCACATCTCTTTGACCCCAACAATTGGTGTATGTATGTGTGTGTGTGTATCTATGTATGTGTACATATGTGAGTCACGCTTGACTCTGTGACCCAGTCACTGTTTACCACTATGGCTAAAAGAAATTATGACATAATAATTTTTGTTTAACGAAGCCATCCTTTCACAAGCAAGCCTCCACGTGAAAGGAAGCCTCCACCTAACTGCTATTCTGAACAAATACAATCATGGCCAGAAGTGTTAAAACCATTTGTGCAGGTAATACTTCTGTTTTACTAAAAAAAATATTTCCTAGTATGATTACTTTTCACACAATATCAATTCTTCACCCTGTTTATTGGTTAATACAAGTTCTATACCTTGTTTATTTATTATTTGTATCAGTTTGTTAGTTGGCACCTGAATTAGTCAACCTATTTCTCAAAGGCACATGATGTTGTTTAAAAAACCTCATATTATGCTAGACTCATATTTGTTTAGGCATTCACTGATATGGTAAAATAATACTAACAGTATGTCATTCTCATGATTTTTCTGGTACTCACTTTAGACTGGGAGCTGTGGATATGCAGAAGATTAGATCATATTTCATGAAAACAGAAACAAAAACAGATTCAGTGGTTCTAAAAAAAAAGGAAAAAGAGATACTGAAATAAAAAAAAAAAGAGACAAGTGAAGTTTCTGCCATATTAAAAGACATAACACATTTATTGAATACTAGAGAGAAACATTGACAACAGGCAAGCAAGAGGCAGATAATGATACATGTGGGAAAACATCAAGAGATGGAAAAACAGCATTTGAGGGAGTGTAAATCTAGGGTGAATACCAGTACATGTTCGAGATCATTTCAGCCAACTTTCATTGTGGACAACATTTGAGGGAGTGTAAATCCAGGGCAAAAACCAGTACATGTTTGAGATCATTTCAGCCAACTTTCATTGTGGACAACATTTGAGGGAGTGTTAATCCAGATAAAAAACCAGTACATGTTCGAGATCATTTCAGCCAACTTTCATTGTGGACAACATTTGAGGGAGTGTAAATCCAGGGCAAAAACCAGTACATGTTCGAGATCATTTCAGCCAACTTTCATTGTGGACAACATTTGAGGGAGTGTAAATCCAGGGCAAAAACCAGTACATGTTCGAGATCATTTCAGCCAACTTTCATTGTGGACAACATTTGAGGGATTGATTTATTAGGCTAGATCAACCTGGGAGTCCATGTAATTTGTAAAAATGCTGCTTCGCTGATTCAAACTGAAGATTTTTGTGCTATCAGACAAACATCTGACCACTGGATCTCTTAGAGTGACTTTTATTTCAGACCAAATGTATAAGGAGCATTAATTTGAAACCCCTTCTAATGGCTCTAATACAAAAGCATGAAAAAAAAAATCAACAGATTTAGCAGAATGAAACAAAGTATTCATTTTGAATGAATTATGCACTATGAGTAGGTCAGAAAAAAATTGCCCTACACATTCAGGTAAGCATTCTATTGCTTAGGTAGGCAATGGAGGCTGCCCGCAAAATGGATTGAGGTTGCTCACTGAACCCTGCGTTCCTCCTTTTAGTGGTCAGTCAGCATCTATGGTACTTACTGTGAACACACCTTCTAATATTGCAGTCTCTTACGAACAACTGTCCCAGTTGACACAGGGAATTTCTTTCACTAGTGAACATATGCTTCAACAACGGTTCAGCCGTACTGCTTCATCAGTTTTTTTATTTTCTGTTGCAACAATATGCGCTTGACTCGTCCATGGAAGACTTGTCATAAAGTCAGGGCCCTTTCTGCAACATTTGCACCCAGCCTGTCACTGTTGTCTTCGACACACATTTGTTACCATAGGCTGCCTGCATTCTTCTATGAATGTCCACAGGTTAACATCCTGGAAATGAAAGAAATCATTGCTCTTTGAGCTTTTTTTGACAGATCTGGAATCAACCAAACAGAACCTATGCATCATGAGACGATTACCAAACAGAACTTATGCATCATGAGACGATTAGCACATGCTCTTTTATTCATTGGTCAGTACTTATGACATAATGATGTTTAAGACATGCACTAATGCCTGGTGTGGCACAAACGGGTTTCAAATGGACACTTGTAAATTGGCTCATATTTAGTGTCCACTGTATGTGATGATGAAACAGATGTTAGTGTTATTTTAAACACTTTTTTTAGGGTTTGTTTTGCTACTTGTGCTGATGCAAACAGAGAGGTTTATATGTGTATCTGCGCTTTATGTTATTTTGATATTCTAAAGTAACACATTATGTCCATAAATTTCTTTTTCTTTTTCTGTTTGCCCTTGGAGGGGCAGTTGGCACATCTTGTTGTGGTTTACAGCTATGCTGTGTTATCTGTAGCTATCATCCCAACACATCTGATTTCAGCAAACTCTTAGTCACTGTTTTAGACATGCTTGTTAGGGGGCAGTCAGTCTTCACCCCCCCCACCCCCCCCCACCCCCAAAACTACTCACACCCTCCCCCCACCCCCACCAATTTTGGACCACAAAACTCATGAGAACATGTATATAAATCAATGTTTTCAACAAATTTTGGCGACGCCCCATATTTTGGAGTGCACGTTAAGGGTGTTAAAATTATATGGCAGTAATCCTGATCACAATTCCCAGGTCCACGTGTGGGTTCTGGGGTTCCATAGTGGGGAAAACAAGAATAGACCCACTGCCTGCCCAATGTCCTAGGAGTTGACTAATTGGGAACTTCCTTCAAAGTTGGAGTACATCTGTCTGAGCTGCAAAGAACACCCAACTGCACACACATAAACCTGTAAAATGTACATGCAAATACAAGCCCTGGCACAAAGCCAAAGTCTAAATGGACAAACAACCAGGACTTTCCATGGGAGCTTACAGCTGGTGAACACAGAAGAAAAACAAGAAGACAATACCCAGTAGCAGATGGGTTCAGCTTTTCCAGCCTTTACTGCTCAGGAGTTGACCCAGCTTAACAAAATGAGTGCACTGGCTATTGTAGCACCACGGCACCACAAGATGTGGACAAGTCCCTTTGACATCAAATGAACAGTATCAAAGCTCCCCCTCCCCCCCCCCACCAAAAAAAAAAGATCATTACAACCTGGAGAGAATTGCTGGAAGTAACCAGTAGATCTAGCCGACACACGGCAGTCAGAGGAAAGGGGTGATGGACTAAATCAGCTAGTTGCTGGGACTATAAGAATTATAACTCTTCCCTGTCTGGGAATGTCCCAGTTGCGGTGATGTCGATTCTTGACTCAACTCTTTTGGAAATAAAGCTGGCTGATATCATAGTTGATAGTTACCGCATTACTTCTCTGGAAGCCGTGGTAACATTAATTTGTTTTTTAAAAATAGTTATACTCAAGAAGGTATTTATAATAAATAAATATTCTGTTCTCACAAAAAGAATTGCATTTGATTAGTACAGATTTTTTTTTTAAGTTAGTGACATCACAAGCTCTCTATATTTGTTCTGTGGGCCACCAAATGGCAAAGACTGCTTTAGTGAAAAATGTACACTTTGCCAGCACTGGATAGCGTTCTGAACTTAGTAGTATCACATGACAGACAGCACAGTTGAGGACTCTTTTCAATGCCCTTTGGCGTATTAAGTATTTAGTGCTAGGCCAATCAGCACTCGGTAGCAAAGCTAATTATAAAAATGTTTTTTTGTTTAAATCTGACTCAATTTGGAGTTGAACTTATGACCTTCAGGTCAGCAGGTGAGCATCAAGCCATGTGCCACGTGTCAAAGAAAATTAATAGTCCATGATTCAGAGAAGTCACTTGAGTTATATATATATAATATATATATAATTTATATATTTATATATTTTTCCTCACCTTTTCAATTATAATTTATTATTTATTATCAATGAATATTTTTATTATTGTTATAATGTTTGTTTATGTCACTTATTCGGTAAATATTTTTCTGCTACAACTTATTTATTCTGGAACAGTTATTTAATATTGCTATGACTAATTTATGCAGCAACAATTAACTGATACTGCTACAAATAATTTATATGTTACAATTACATATTGTTATGAATTTTTTCTTTTCAATTGAAAATTATGTGGATGTATGAATTTGTTGAGAAATGTATATTTGCTTTAATGTTTCAGTGACTAAAGTGTATTATTTAAAATTAACTCTTAAGTATAATAATTGCATTCATTCCCATGTGGCATTTTTTCATTTTGAAGCCCCATTGTGGGATGCCATTATGGGTCATGGAACCTGTTTGGGTGAAGCCATCTGAATGGCCCCGATCCCTCGGTGTGATGTCCTGGTGGGGTAAAACGTCGGTAATTGTTCCCAGACGTTTACAATGTGAAGGTAGTATTTGTCGGATAACTTTTTGTCACTTCTTGGTGTAATTCTTTTCCTTCATTTCAGCATGTTGATATTTATAACTAAAAGAAAGAAGGAAAGAAAGAAGGAAAGAAAGAAAGAAAGAAAGAAAGAAAGAAAGAAAGAAAGAAAGAAAGAAAGAAAGAAAGAAAGAAAGAAAGAAAGAAAGAAAGAAAGAAAGAAAGAAAGAAAGAAAGAAAGAAAGAAAGAAAGAAAAGAAAGAAAGAAAGAAAGAAACCACACAAACACACAAATTATTATTATCATAATGAAGACTAGGACTGCCAAATCATCATCACATAATCATGTATAATTAGTGTGCGTGCTTTTTTCAAAATATTTACATTTCACTTTAAATGCTTTGCATTTAAATAATTAAATGGCATACGAACAACATCTTGCTGGTATCAACAGTTATGAAAAAAAAGTAGATGATGATATACAGGGTACATTCTGATAAAGTATGCACCCCCCCCTCCCCCCCCCCCCCCCCTTTTCCCTCTCCAAAAAGGAGGTAGTAAAATAAATTCTGAAATTGGAAAACAAATGGATTTAGGAAGCTAGTGGTCAAAGAAAAAACCTTATACAAATACTGATGATAAAGATAAACTCTGAAATGGAAAAACAAATAGATTTAGGAAGCTAGTGGTCAAAGAGAAAGCCTAATACACAAACTGACAAGAAATAAAAACTCTGAAATGGGAAAACAAATGGATTTAGGAAGCTAGTGGTCAAAGAGAAAGCCTAATACACAAACTGACAAGAAATAAAAACTCTGAAATGGGAAAACAAATGGATTTAGGAAGCTAGTGGTCAAAGAGAAAACATACAAATACTGATGAGGAAAAAAAAATCCTCTGAAATGGGAAAACAAATAGATTTAGGAAGCTAGTGGTCAAAGAGAAAGCCTAATACACAAACTGACAAGAAATAAAAGCTCTGAAATGGGAAAACAAATGGATTTAGGAAGCTAGTGGTCAAAGAGAAAACTTATACAAATACTTATGAGAAAAATAATCTCTGAAATTTGAAAAAATAGATTTAGGAAACTAGTGGTCAAACCTAATACAAATACTGATAAGAAAAACGAACATTGAAATGGGAAAACAAAAGGATTTAGGAAGCTAGTGGTCCATACTTTGTGGTATTATTTTTTTTCCAGTGCCAAGGTATTTGAAATGATCCAAATACTTCAGCTTCTGAGACAAGATGCTGTTTATTCCATGCACAATATGAAAAATACTGCACAGGATAGAATAGAATGAAAAAATTTACTACAAACCCTTACTGATGTATAAATGGTACAACAGTGCCATGAATGCGTGAATTAGAGCTGCATGGGTTATTAAGTAAGTAAAAAAAGTAAGTAAAGTTCCCTTTTCACGCCTTTTGGCGCATCGGGCATATGGGCAGAGCGTCCCATATTTTTACAGACCATCAGCACTCTGTAGGTAATGTGGTCAGCATTTCGCCGGCTGTCTTTACTTTCCCAGGACAGCCCATCCTGGTTCACCAAAATCATCAGGTATTGACATTAAATGTATGCGACCTATCAGCAGAAAAGGTACAATAAAAGTAAAGGACCCTTTTTACGTAGTTGGATCATCTGTTACCCTGTCATCCCTTCACTGAAGGCTGGCATATAATCAGTAACCTGTGTCCTCCCGGTGTCAGTTCCACTATCTATCATTGTCTTTCTCTTGCATACTAGCACGGTAAGTTTCTCTTCAGCACATCTTCCAACAAAGATCCTATTTCTTGACATGTCCAACGTATACATCTGTTCAAACTCTCTTTACCTTCTGATGTTACCTTCTGAACCATGTAGTGCACCATATGTTAATTGTTTGGTTCAAAGAAAGCTTGCTTTTTCTATTTTCTTGTCACAATGTTGATTGTTGAATGTTGAATTGAGAATCGACATCACAGAACTCGGGACACTCCTATAAGTGCTTAGTCCTTATCTTCAGCAGCAAGCGAAGAGTTCTAATTCGGATGGTATCAGTAACCATCTGATTGTATATCTGTCTCATGCTTCTCCTGAATGTTAAAAATCGGCCCCTGGTAACTCTTTTTTGCCACATACGGTTGGTATATCATCTGTTTACCTGATTTGTTACTTTGTGGCTTAAATCATTTTTGTTAGTCTTTGTTTTACCTCTTTCAGCTGCACATATTGGCTGCTTTAACTCTGTCAGTATCGAACAACACACTATATGTCTATTTGTGATGATGTGCTTTGTGTGGTGGCCAAAGCTCATGGCATGCCGAGTATAAAACCCGTGCAAGAGACGACGGCACGGGATGTTCCGAACTGGAGATATGAACTAGTCAAAGCTCGAGGTTGGCTTATGTTCATTTAGGTACCAGAGTCAGAGGACAACGGTTGTGATGTAGTTTAACTGCTGCATATTAAATCTCGTGTGAATGATTATTGCAGAGGTTGTGGAGGTTCCTCTTTTTCTTTTTTTGTTCGCTGGAAATAGATTATCAATATCTGCAAGTCTGTCTCTAGTATGAACTTCACTGTCTGTTGTAATTCAGTCAGCGACCCGTAAAGAAGTAGAATTGGAAGTGAGCAGCAATGTTGATAACTGAATAAACTACAATTAAAAAGTGTGAGAGCTGGGAAGAATAAACTGGCAGAACTTATACTGGAATCTCAACGCTGTCTGCACTATTCATTGTAGAAACTCGTATCTGTCCCAAACGAGATAAAGTGACCAAAAGGAGAATTATCACAAGTTGAGAGTGGGCCACCAGGCAAAGCACATCATCACACCATTTATATTATTTACATATAATATATTTCCTAACTCTTCCTGGGAAAAAATAATTAATAAGTAGCAGCCAATGTTATTTAACTTAGATCTCATAAAGTATACACAAGGCATTGCATAGTAGATATTACTGTGGTACATCATACTGTTCTACAAAACAGAACATCTTATCACTGCTTTCGGTCCAATATGGTGAGTAGGCTGCCAGCGTTTTTAGTTTTAGCAGGTTATTTGCTTCTAGATATGGTTGGCTGTTGCATTTCCCCCCAAATATGTGGATGGAAAGTATATAGGTCTGTAACGCAGCTACTGAGTTGAATGCATGGTGCAACACTATGAGCTTTGGATTTCACTAAGAATACTTTTTGACTGTGTGCAAAGCTGTTTATCTGTGAACAGCAGATTCTTAAATTGGTGCAGATTCATAAAATGGCGCACATTCATAAAATGGTGAATGGTCTATTAACACAGAACTGGTAGTGCCTCATACAGTATTACATATGCAACTGTCAATTTACTGTGATTACTACTTCGATTGATGATGAACTGGAGTTCTAGTGACCGACGTACGTGCACACACACAAGTGAAAGTAAGTGAATGACCTGTTTCATGCTTGGGACAGGCACATTTGGCATATGGTGCTAATCACATAACATTTTGTATCAATCAGAACACAATAAATGTTGTACACATCATCCCCCCCCCCCCCCCCCCCCCGGCCCCTTTTACTAAAAACTAATCCTATAGAAATATCACAGCTTGTATAGTTTCTGTGACAGTAATTTAAGTCTAAACCTCTTCAAGATTTCATTAAAATGTGTATCACCATAGTCCCCAAACACTGTGTATCATTGGGTCACCATGTGCTGTTAACTGCTTAATCAGTTCCCTCCATTATTGTCGGCCAGATACAGTGGACTTATCTTTGCATGTCTGAGGCTTGTCCATTCAACCAAATTCTGTATCCAGTCTTTCTTGGTCTGCCCCTTCTCCTCTGTCCCTTTGGCAAGCCCTGTAGTATAGTTTTAGAAAGGCCGGAAGATCTTATTACATGTCCAATCCGTTGCATATCTTGTCCTTTAATTGTTACTAAAAGAGTCTCATAGTTAAACTTCTATGTGGGGCTGGAATGTCTGGTAGAAACATTGGAAAAGGCACTGTTATTGTAGATAGTCTGTATTGTACATATACTAGTAGCAGACGTATTCCAGTCAGTCCTTGACAGAAAATTCACTGTTTTAGCACATCTTCCAGGGCAGTAATGTAACTCTGGGCCATTTGTAAGGTCTCGTACTTGGATAATTTCCGATGTCCTCCAAATGACGGTATAACACCCCGCAGCCGATCAAATGCAGCATTCATGCTCTGCATGCGTTTCCTTTCTCTTGCGTTGGCGTTGGACCTGACAGTTGAAAAAAAAAAGATAACACAAGTCAACAAGTATGATATGAAGGGGGTTGCACACTTCATAAGGTGCTTTATTAATATCCTACCCCAAACAGGGGAAATCCACAGGTCACGGGACAGTCTAATATTTCTGGGGGTGATAGATAGGCTGCACACATTCGGGGTACCTAGGCTGCATGCAGTCGTGGGACCTAGGCTGCACTCTCTTGGGACGTAGGTGGGTTGGGGTTAGGGTCAGTTCTAGATGTTTTGGGGTCGTTGAGAGCACCAGAAAGCCAGAAAACCCAGTCTTACCACCCTATAAAATGTGGGACTGTCATGTGACGTCATATGGGGGTAGGAAATCACGAAAGAACCCTTTATAACTATGGATATGAACACTCTCTGTGGTGGTGCTCCAGGAGCAAGGATAATACTGGTCAACCTACAGACATTTGGAGTCACCAACGTGAAAAAGAAAGCCAATCAGAAATGAACCTCAAGGACTTTAAATGAAGAAGAAGAATCGATAACTTATTAGTTTAGGTGTAATAACTGTCCAGGCATAATAACTAAGTTACTTATATATCTGTTTAACGTGTGTTTTCTTTATAATCTTTCCTAATCTACACCCCATCGTAGTCATCCTTAAAAAAAAAAAAAAAGATTTACAACTAGGGACCTAGCATACTTAGAAACGTTCGACGTTTTCTTTAAAGTCGGAGTGCAGCTGCTTGAGAGGCGAGGATCCAGCAGTCTACAAAATAATGATAATAATAAGCTGGATCTGTAAAACGGATGTGCACGCACACTTGGGTCATGGAACAAGGTCAAAGTCCAGAAGTGGACGGATGACCAGGACCTTTCGCGGTAGTTTGCTGGCGGTTGACGCTAGGAAGATAGAAAGGCCTGACAGTAAACAATGAAACACAAACAAGTATGCTTACTGTGAGTGGCTGCACCACACTGCAGTACTAAACAAAACACACACACGAAAGTGGGGGGGGGGGTGGAAAAGAAAGAGGGGGGGGGGTTGATTGTTTTGTTGTGTGTTAGCGGTGAAAATTAACACTTACAATAGATCAGTGGTTCTCAACCTTCCTAATGCCGCCACCCTTGAATACAGTTCCTCATGTTGTGGCGACCCAATGCAGAAACTAAACAGCACGAAGACCCTATAACACAGCACCTTCAAGCGAGTTCAAGTAACAATTGTGAGATCATGCATCTTTCCCATGGCAACTTACTTAGAGAGACTTTCATGTGTGCCGTTACGAGAGCAATGTTCTGCATAGCACCTACTGATTGATGATGATTCGGTTCTCGATGGTGGTGATATGATTAGCAGGCAGCTTTACATTCCACATTTTCTAGTACCCAGATTAGACAAGGACAAACTGGAAGTACAGATTTAAAGAAAAACCCCATCTTCTGGCTGCTTTATGAAGTTCTGACAAGGGACAAACTGGAAGTACAGATTTAAAGAAAAACCCTATCTTCTGGCTGCTTCATGAAGTTCTGACAAGGGACAAACTGGAAGTACAGATTTAGAGAAAAATCCCATCATCTGGCTGCTTCATGAAGTTCTGACAAAAGACAAACTGGAAGTAAAGATGTAAAGAAAACCCAATCTTCCAGCTGCTTTATGAAGTTCTGACAAAGACAACCTAAAAGTACAGATGTCAGGAAAACCCCATCTTCCGATTGCTTCATGAAGTTCTGACAAAGACAACCTAAAAGTAAAGATGTCAAGAAAACCCCATCTTCCGATTGCTTCATGAAGTTCTGACAGAGACAAACTGGAAGTACAGATGAAAAGAAAAACCCCATCTTCGGGCTTCTTCATGAAGTTATGACAAAACTGGAAGTACAGATGTAAAGAAAAAAACCATCTTCTGGCTGCTTCGTGAAGTTCTGACAAGGGACAGACTGGAAGTACAGATGTAAAGAAAAACCCCATCTTCTGGCTGCTTCATGAAGTTCTGACAAGGGACAAACTGGAAGTACAGATTCAAAGAAAAACCCCATCTTCTGGCTGCTTCATGAAGTTCTGACAAGGGACAAACTGGAAGTACAGATTCAAAGTAAAACCCCATCTTCTGGCTTCTTCATGAAGTTCTGTTAAGGGACAAACTGGAAGTACAGATGTAAAGAAAAACCCAATCTTCTGGCTACTTCATGAAGTTCTGACAAAGGACAAACTGGTAGTACAGATGTAAAGAAAACCTATCTCCAAGCTGCTTTATAAAGTTCTGACAAAGACAACCTTAAAGTACAGATGTCAAGAAAACCCCATCTTCCGATTGCTTCATCAAGCTCTGACAAAGACAACCTAAAAGTATAGATGTTAAGAAAACCCCGTCTTCCGATTGCTTTATGAAGTTTTGACAGAGACAAACTGAAAGTACAGACGTGGAGAAAACCCCATCCTCATATTGCTACATGAAGTTCTGACCACCCTTAGTCCTACGAGAAAAGGATCAGGAAAGATAATCAAATATTGCAAATCCAAGTTGTCCCTACTTAACCCCCAAAGAAGTTAAATTGGGGCACCCATGATGACCACACCGGGTGATACAGTTTACACTGTCGTCATGGCTGGGTAAGGGTCGATTCCATTTGGTATATGAATTAGAAGACCTCCCTGTGTGGGCTCGTGAGCTCCATTTTAGGAAACAATGAACAGACCTACTGCCCCTAAAAGGCACATCGTAGGAGGCGACCAGTTAGGAATGTTTCCTTTAAAGTCAGAGTGTTTCTGCCTGAGCGGCAAGGAACCAAAAGTCTGCATACAACTAAGCCATTTTTGTTTGTATAAGAAAAAGAAAATGATTTGCACCCAAAAGGCAACTTCTGGATCAAGACCGATGTCTCCATGGGAGTAAACAGTTAGTAAACGCTCAGAAAAAGAAGATAAAGAAGAATGCATGACCACTGGACTGGCAGGCAAGCGAACTAACCGTAACTGCCCAATACATACCTTCTGTTGGTGACCAAATATCCACCGACAAGGGGTTCAGGAGAGACTGATGACGCATCTTGATCCACGTAACCCAGAGAACAAAACGAGTGATGTGTCACTTGTATACAAGCCCTACCACCTGGCTGATGTGTTGATTCAGTATAATTTTGATATGTAGGAGCCATGCAATGTTTGCTATTTTTCTGAGACGGTCCACACTCCTCATAAGAAGAAATTATGTGACGTGAACTGTTGCGCGACTCTTTGCTGCACTTCGAATTTCTAAGATAGAATGTCGCTACCGAGCCAGAGTCATGTTTCGTGTTGGGTGAAATTTCGTTAAAAAACTCACACTGGCAATTTGAGCAGTCAGATTTGTTATAAAACATTCGCTGTGATAATCGAGTCATGTTCTTTTGTTAGTTCTAATTCGTGAGATGTAGTAGCGGATGTGTCTTTGCTGATATCAGTTCATTTATCCGTGTAGTTGTAACTCATGGTTTCCCTACTCTGTAAGTCAAGACTATTATATTGTAATTAAAATTTAAGTCACTATTAGTAGACTTTATATGGACTTTAGAAGAGGATATTAAATAGACTTTAGGTCAAGACTAGTACATTTGAAGTAAACAAATACTAGTACATATTAGGTAGACTTTAGGTCAGGACTAGTACATTTTAAGTAAACAAATACTAGTACATATTAGGTAGACTTTAGGTCAGGACTAGTACATTTTAAGTAAACAAATACTAGTACATATTAGGTAGACTTTAGGTCAGGACTAGTACATTTTAAGTAAACAAATACTAGTACATATTAGGTAGACTTTAGGTCAGGACTAGTACATTTTAAGTAAACAAATACTAGTAAGGTCAGGACTAGTATATTTTAAGTAAATAAATACTAGTACATATTAGGTAGACTTTAGGTCAGGACTAGTACATTTTAAGTAAACAAATACTAGTAAGGTCAGGACTAGTACATTTAAAGTAAATAAATACTAGTACATATTAGGTAGACTTTAGGTCAGGACTAGTACATTTTAAGTAAACAAATACTAGTACATATTAGGTAGACTTAAGGTCAGTTCTAGTACATTTTAAGTAAACAAATACTAGTGCATATTAGGTAGACTTTAGGTCAGGACTAGTACATTTTAAGTAAACAAATACTAGTACATATTAGGTAGACTTTAGGTCAGTTCTAGTACATTTTAAGTAAACAAATATTATAACATATGAAGCAGACTTTATGTCAGGACTAGTACATTTTAAGTAAACAAATACTAGTACATATTAGGTAGACTTAAGGTCAGGACTAGTACATTTTAAGTAAACAAATACTAGTACATATTAGGTAGACTAGTACATTTTAAGTAAGCAAATACTAGTACATATTAGGTAGACTTAAGGTCAGGACTAGTACATTTTAAGTAAACAAATACTAGCACATATTAGGTAGACTTAAGGTCAGGACTAGTACATTTTAAGTAAACAAATACTAGCACATATTAGGTAGACTTTAGGTCAGGACTAGTACATTTTAAGTAAACAAATACTAGTACAAATAAAACAGACTTGAGGTCAGGACTAGTACATTTTAAGTAAACAAATACTAGTACAAATAAAACAGACTTGAGGTCAGGACATATATTATAAATACACTTCAGGGTAAGATAAGTTTAGGTTATGTGTAAATGAAAATTATAATTCTCTTAGAGGTTTTTTAAATATAAACAGGAATTTGGCGTTATTACTGTAATGTTATCGGTTAGGCCAGTGATCCCCAAACTGTGCGCCGCGGCGCCCCAGGATCCGCGAACTCTTCGCGAAATATTCTAAGACACGAGTTTTGTGTGTGTGTGTGTGTGTGTGTGTGTGTGAGTGTGTGTGTGAGTGTGTGTGTTTTATAAACACATACAGCCATACTTTTACTTGGGTTAAGGAGCCGTGGACAAATTTTAATTTAAAAAATAAAAGGCTCCGCGACTAAGAAAAGTTTGGGAAACACTGGGTCAGATCATTGTTCTTTAATGTTTAACGTAGGTTTAACA